TGAGACAGGGTTTCTCTGTGTGACAGCCCTAGCTATCCTGGAACTAGCTCTTGTAGACCAGGCTGGCCTTGAACTAACAGAGATCTGCCTGGCTCTGCCTCAGTGCTGGGGTTAAAGGCCTGTGTCACCACCGCCCGGAATAAATCTTGTTTTAAAAAGTTTTTTTCTTTGTACCATAACTGAACTACTACATTTTGCTTCTAACTATTCAAGGAACTCTGAGCCTGTGTTTGGGCTGTGCAGCCAGAAGGCTGCTTTGTCACTAGCTCCGGCTGGGGTTATGGAATGTCAAAGCTCTGCTTCAAGGCAAATACCAGAAAGCAGGAAAGCTGGGAGGAGACACATGGGGAAAGGTGGGGAGAATGAGGGCCGAGGGCAGATTCCCTCTGTGGCCTGCAGCCCAAACCGTGGACTCCTGACCTCACCAGAAACTCAATAGAAGTAAAGAAGCCAAATGGTTTCCAAGTGGGAAAAGGTGCCAGCCACGATTTTTGCTGCCCAAGGAACCAATAATAATAATCCTTATGATTCATGTTCATCCCGTTTTATTCCAAAGCACGTTACCGAAAAGCCCCTTGGTTCAGCCAAGAAACTCAGGGCAAGAAGCCAGAATACCTGCGCTCCAGATTTGTCCATGGAACATTTGGACATTACTGGGATGTGTTTCTCTGGCTTTAATTGTGGGCAGTACCATATATGGAGAGATCTATAGTTTGACTTACACCATCTCACTTAACCTTCCAATCCCTGATGAGGAAGCAGATCCTCATTCTAAGATTGGGATCTGGTTAGGGCGGAATTTGTCCAAACCCACACAGTATTAAGGTGGGGTGGGCCAGGCAGTGGTGGCACAGGCCTTTAATCCCAGCACTAGGGAGGCAGAGGCAGGTGGATCTCTGTTTGAGGGCTGCCTGGTCTACAGAGTTCCAGGACAGCCAAGGCTAGTCAGAGAAACCCTGCCTCAAAAAGCAAAAACAAAACCAAAAGGTGGGACTGGGAAAAGGAAGTGAGCAACCCTGGCTTTTCTAGAAAGCTCTGTGTAATCCATGCTGGCCTTAAACTCACAATGATCCACCTGTCTCTCAAGTGCTGATACTAAAGGCACGGACCATCAAGGCTGACACCTGGGCCCTTTAATTCTATACCTTTTACGCTGCCCTTGCCAAAATAGGTAAGTACATTCCATGCTTTGCTTTTTTAGTGTAGCATAAGATGGCTTGATCCCATACAAAATGCCTAGTGCATATTCCGAAGGCAGAGCTGGGCTGGTGGGGCTCTAAATGTACAATTTCGAAGACTTATTTATTTATTTATTTATTTTTGAGACAGGGTTTCTCTGTGTAACAGTCCTAGCTGACCTGGAACTAACTCTTACAGACCAGGAGGGCCTCGAACTCACAAAGATCCACCTACCTCTGTCTTCCGAGTGCTGGGATTAAAGGCAAGTGCCACCACTGCCTGGCCTAGAGGAAGACTTTTATTAAAAAACAAAATATTAAAATAATTTGGGAACAGACCCATCGGTAGACCTTCCAGGCAAGGGGCCTTGAAGCCTAAACTTCATTAACTATTATCAATCTGCCTCTCCTACATCCTGTGCCTCCAAGCCGGCCACATCAGACTTCGATACACTTCGATTCATGAAACGTAGCAGAAGTGGGACGTGGAAGTCCTGCGAGTCTCATTTCCCCCAGGAGACAAGAGAGGAATTACACCAGCAGCTAAACTGTGAGGAAGGAGAAGGCAGTGAGCCAAGGAATAGCCCAAAGAGACAGTGCGACCCAGCTGGCTGCGATGTGAGCAACAGCAGCGTTATTGTGGCAGCAAAGGAGCCAGGAGCAATGGCGTTGCCCTGGGAGCGATGGCACAAACCATGCGTGGGCTGGACTAGTGGAAGCGGGCGTCCTTCACATCGCCTTCTCCCTCCCTTGGTCTAATCCTGACATCCCTTCAGCTGAGCAGGGGAGGCGAAGCCCACTAATAGCTGTTGGCTGTGCGAGACCAGAAAGTCGTACACGCCCAGGCCTTTCCTCCTCAGATTTGCTGGATGGTGGAATGCGGGAGGGTCGAACGCCGGTGCCCGGGTGGCAGCTCCTGCCCTAGGACAAGGGTGCCGAGCTCTCTACCCGGCTCCCCACCGCCGCCGGGGAGGGGGCAGCGCCCGCGGCCTGCTTTCTCAGGGCTGGCCGAGCCTTTTTGACAAGCTGATTGCGAGAAGGGGATTGGCTGATCCAGGCGTGACGTTGGTAACAACAAAGGTGGAGTTGGAAGAAATTAGATTAAAGGAGAGCAGGAAAAAAAAAATTGAAGGGGGAGCTAGCAGGCGACTGGAGGTAGAGACCAAGGGGAGACGCACGAAGCTCCGCTCCCGGTTATGATTTTCCCCCTTCCAGCTCCTTCGTACAAACGCGCCGGGATTTTGCTCTAAACCCCCACCCGGGCCGCGGCCTAGTTACGGAAGCCGGGATAGAACGGATGGCCGCTCCGCTGCGTCTTAAAATCTTCCCAACTCCCACTGACAGTCTCCTACGACCCAGGGGAGAATTTTTTGCTAACTCCTTGGATCCTAAGGCCGTTGAAGATGGGGGGCATCGAGAACAACGAAAGACTCGCTCTGAAACCCGGAAGGCCCTCGCGGGGTATCGAGATCGAACGAGGCGGGGTGCTTCCCCCGGTATTTCGATGTGTTACAAACCTAGGAGCGTCCTTATTTTTTCATCTTTGTAACACCCCCATCGCCCCCACCCCGCCTTAGCTTCAGGGTTGCAAAAGCAGAGCAATAAAGAAAAAAAAACCTGCGCACACACTCAGACACACGCCAGTGGCGACAGGGGAGAGTTGGAAAAACGCAGGAGAGAAGGAGGAGGCAGGAGAGAGCGGGGATGGAGCAATGGGAGCGAGAGAACAGGCAGAATCCCTCACAGATCCCCCTCCGGCTTCAAGCTGCCTCGCCCGCCCCGGCGGGGGAGCGAGGAGTCCGGCGAGCAGATGGAGCGGAGCTCGCTCTAGGCAGCTGGCTTGGCCGGAGACTGGAGGAGCCGCCAAGCGACCGGCTGATTGGAAGAGAAACGCAGAGCGATGGAGGCGGGGGTAGGAGGACGATTTCTCTGCGGGGACTGGCGGCGGCGTACACGCCCGGGTCGGGCGCTGCAGAGCTTGGCTAGCTTTCAACCCGCGCTCGGCGGCTCCAGCCCCGCGCACCCCCGCCCCCAGCCCTGCCGACGGCCCCGCAGGTGAGTGCGAGTAAAGGAAAAAAAAAAAACCTAACATCGAAAAACCTCTGCCTTGAAGAAGGAAAAAAAAAGGAAAAAAGGGAAAAAAAGGAATTTTTCTTATTCCTTTTTTTAAATTTTCGTGCAGCCCCCAGAGCGGTGGGAGGGAAGGGGTGAGGCTGAGCCGCCCGGAGGAGGCGGAGGGGCCAGGCGAGGCCGGGGCGGCCCGGGAGGCGGCGGCGCCAAGGCGGCTCTGACGGGCGAGCGCTCGAAGCGGCGCTGCGCTGCGCCGAGGCGGGCGGGCGGGCGGAGCGGGGCGGGCGGAGCGCGGCGCGTGGGGCTCGCCATTAGCCGTCGCTCCGCATCGCCATCTCGGGCTTTGTCTGTAGACTCGCTGCCCCGGCGTCGGCAGCTGCGGAGCTGCGACTCCGCTCTTCCGCCCGCCGGAGTGCCAGGTCCCCCCCGGCCCTCACTAGCACCCACACACTCGGTAAGTGGGCCTTCGGCGCGGCGGATTTCGGGGGAAAGGGGTTGCTCTCCGGCGGCGCCAATCTCCGGGCTCCACGCGCCCGGGACAGGCCTAGGGGAGTCACGCCGGGCTGGATTGAACCGGCTCCCTGGCTCTGCCAGGGCCGGCCGCTCCAGGCTGTTTTCCCGGCTGTGCGGAACAAGAGGGATTTGGGGCTTTTTGTTATTTTTTTTTAAGGGATTCGCAGTATATTTTTAAGTTCCATGAGTGCCGCTCGGCGATAAGGGGACCGGGAGGTAGGCGCCGAAACCTGGCACCGCGATCGGCGAGCGTGAGCTCAAAGCTGGTGGCCGCGCTCCGGGGACCAGGGTGGGCGAGCGCTCGCTCGCCGAGGCGGGAGACGGAAGGGAGCAGATGAGAGCGAGCTGGCCCGGAAGACCAAGCCTAAGCTCGGAGAGCCTGGAAGAGAGCTCTAGAGCAGGGCTGCCGGCACCCGCGAGGCTCGCCGGCCACCCCTCTGGACACCCTCTCCACCGCCGCACCTCGGCCCTCCCTCCCGCACCGGCCAAGCCTGCTAGTTCCCCCGCGGGGCTGGCGAGGTCGCTCTCACCGCCTGCTTGCCTGCCCGCCTAGGCTCGCAGCCCCGCCGCCATCCGGGCGGCTGCGTGTTTCCCTGCCCCGGCCCCCCCCTTCCCCGGCGGCAGCAACAGCAGCAGCCGCCGCCGCCACTACCACCACCCCCCTCCCCTCCTTCCTTGCCTCCGCCTCGGCCGCCCGGGTCCCCCCAGCGCCCGCCCCTCCTCCCAGCTGCCCCCCGCGGAGCCCGCCCGGGCAGGCTGTGGGAGGGAGCGGAGCCGGCGAGGCGGGCGGGCTGGCGCTCGCTCCCCGGGGGTCGGTGTGCGCTCTACGGGGAAGGACGCGCTCGCTGCCCCGCTTCTCCCGCCCCCCCTCCCGCTCCTCCTCCCTTCTCCCTCCTCCTCCCCGCTCCGGCGGCGGAGGCTGCTGCGGCGGCGGGGGGTGTGCGAGCTGAGGCCGGGGCCGGCGGGCGGGCGGCGGGCGGGCTGCCTGCAGGCGGAGGGCGCTGTGCTTTGTGCTTTTCGCCGCGAGGAGCAGCAGGCAGCAGCCACAGCCGCCGCCGCCACAGCAGCAGCAGCCGCCGCCCCAGCGCCGCCGCCGCCGCGCCCGGAGGAGGAGCCGCTGCCGCCGCGGGAGGGAGTTGCGGCTGTGCCCGGCCGAGCGGGGGAGGGCGCCGAGCTCAGAGCCGGGAAGGGAGCCGCCGGAGCGGGGAGCTCAGAGGCCGCGCTGCGCCGGGTAACCGAGGCGGCGGAGGACGTGCGCCGGGGCCTGGGCTAGGGAGCGAGCCGCGGACGCCGGGCGGCGGTACCGGGGAAGACTGTAGTCGAGCTGACCGGGACACGGGGAAGGGCGCCGAAAATCGGGGGTGGGAAAGGCAGGAAGCGAGGCCCCAGTTAGAGGAGCCCGCGCTTCTCCGGCCGGCCGGTCGGCAGGCGCAGTTCTCGCCGGCCGCCGGAGGGGGCGGCGGGGCCGGTGAGCGCAGCGCCCCCGCCTCGCGGCCGCCGTCCTCCCGCCCTCTGCTTGGCTCGGCTCCCCGGAGGCCGGGGCGGGGGCGCCGGCAGGGCTGGGCCGCAGGCTCGGGGAGGAGGCGGCCGTTCCCGCCGCGGTCTCGCCTCTGCGCCGGGCATCTTCCGTGCGCGTCGGGATAGCTGGGCGGTGGCGGCTTCTCTGGCCCTGGTGGGTGGCTCGGGGGCGGGGGACAGGCTAGGCCGCTTCTCGTCGGCAGCTCGCCTGCCGGGACGGGCGGCGACCGCGTTGGGAGGTTGGAAGGGGGGGAGAAGCGGGAATCCGGATCTGGTCCCCGGGGGCGGTGCGGCCGCTACGCTGCCGGGCTGGCGGCGGCTGCGCTGCGTCCGGGTCCCCGCCGGGTTGCGGAGGCGGGGGGAACCGGCCGGGGGGAAGCGGGAGGAGGAGACTGGTGCGCGTGCCCGCTTTCGTGCCCGCGCGCGCCCTTTACCCGCCCTTCCTCCCCCGCCCTCCAGCCTGGGGCCTCCCCGGGGCGGGCGCTCAACGAGGAGGAGGAGGAAGAAAAAAATTATGGGGGGGTGCTGGGCCGGGGGAAGGAGGCCGGAGGGCGGGTGCTAGCTGCACGCGGGAGCTGGGAGCAGTCTCGCGTGGGCAGGGGAGGGCGCATGCGGCACAGCCGGGCTGCAGGGTCTGGGGGCTGGAGTAGGGAGGAGAGGGGCTCACTCCTACACCCACCGATGAAGTCTGTGAGCCTCCTGGTTGGGTCTCGCTGAGAGTGTGGACCTATGCCCCCTCCCTTGTGGGAGGGGGTGGGATAGAAAGTCCCTCTCTTCCTACCTGAGTGGGTTTTGTATCTCTTCCAAAGGGTGAGGTGGCTTTGACCCCGGGTTGCCCGGCCAGCGCAACCGAGGAGGTGGCTGGACAGCTGGAGAATGAACGGAGAAGCAGACTGTCCCACAGACCTGGAAATGGCCGCCCCCAAAGGCCAAGGTAGGGGTCCCCAGCTTGTGCCCTCTTTAAACTTGATTTTTCTCACACGAACTCACCAGCTCCTAAGGTCCCTCTGTGCTGTGGTCTGTGAACTGGGAGAGGGTCTGAAGTTTACAGAGTCAAGCTCCTGTCAGTTCTGGGTTTGACTAAAATAAATCCAGATTACTTAGTCTGGAGTTTCTATGTTATTTACCTTCTCCTCCTGCTGTGCTTGAGTGAGGGGCAGGGAAGATCCATGCAGGTCAGTTCCCAGTTAGCCTCTTATATTATGCCCTCACGTTAGAAGAAGAGAAGATGCCTGTCAGGGGCAGGTAGAAGGAAGAGAGGGCTAGGGTAGTTCAGTGGTTTAGGACCCCAAGGCATATGGACGAACAAACTATAGATGGCTAGGCCCCAGCCGCGCTGTCGGTGTAATGTCTGTGAAGCCGAGCATCTGGCAGTGCTAGGGAGACATTAGGGAAGAGGATTATGGGTCCATGTGACTCCTGCTGAAACCCTGGCCCAGGTTACTGGATGCAAATGAAAACCAAGAGCTCCTTTGCATCCTGGTCATGGATTCCCCCAGCTCAGCTTCCAGGGCAGCCACTCTCCAGACAGGCTCCTAGCTGTGGCGAGGCTGCACTTCAGCAGCTGAAAACAATTGGCCCGAGATACCCTTTTGCTGAGGAGTTGGGCTGTGATGGCAACTTGGAATTCTGGGGTTCTCTAGGGAGCAAGGCCCTGAGAATTCTACCCGCCTGAATGACTTTTCTCAGAGCTGTTGTGTGTGGTTCTGATGTTGGAATTAAAGGGACTGAGAGTGTCTTTTAATGTTAGTCTCCAGTAGTGCTGGAGAGATGTCTTCATGGGGTATCTTATCCACACCCCAACTCAGACCTTGCATGCTTGTGGTACCCACCAAAAACATGACCTAGAACATGAATGTTATCTCCCCTCCTTCCCTTTCTGATGAGCCGTTTACCCATAGGACCCCCAAATCACAATAGTTTCACTCCATCTCGTAAAAAAGAGGCCCATAGCAGCCGAGCGTGTTAGAAATGATAGTTTTGAGTAAGCCAAACATGATATCCGGTGTAGCTAAGTATGGTGGTATCTGGTTCAGGGCTCCTGCCCTAATCATGTATGGCCGCAGGTTTCGGGGCTGAGCCAGGTCTAAGGAAGGATGCACTAGTTCAGATGAAAAGCAACCGGGGGCTTTGGGAGGAGGGACATGAAGAGAATGGCATGAGCCAGTGTGGTGACTTCCCTTACCTCACCAGACCGCTGGTCCCAGGAAGATATGCTGACTTTGCTGGAGTGCATGAAGAACAACCTTCCATCCAACGATAGCTCCAAGTTCAAAACCACAGAGTCGCATATGGACTGGGAAAAGGTGGCGTTTAAGGATTTTTCGGGAGACATGTGCAAGCTCAAATGGGTGGAGATCTCTAATGAGGTAACAACTGATTCCTACTTTGGACACATGAATACACATTTTGCTTTTATCTCCGTTTCGTGGTTGTTGTTGTTTTTTTTAATCAGGAGAAATGGGGAAAGTGAAAAGCCTGTCGTAGTGGACAGAAGGTGTTCGTTTGTCAGCTCTGATTTGTGCCTGGCTGCCAGCAACAGCCTAGCACTCAATTCTTTCTCGGTGGCCTTGAATACTTACCACCTTAGGCTTCTATGGCCCAAACCTTCTAAGGGGTGGAAGGAGGTACAGCCTTGGAAGCTACACTGAATCCGTCCCTCCTGTTGTGACTGCCCTTGGGTGCATCCTCGCTGCTTAGACCTCTGCAGTGGGTCAGAGGTTGACTGTACTGTAGTCTGTTGGTTTGTTTCATTTAGTGAACTCACTCTGGTGAGGGATCAGAAGAGAAGGCTGCGCTGTGGAAGTGGCATTTCCCAATTTCCTTTCTCTTCCTTCAGGTGAGAAATTTCCGTACACTGACGGAGTTGATTCTTGATGCTCAGGAACATGTTAAAAATCCTTACAAAGGCAAAAAACTCAAGGTGAGTTGCCAGGAGGAGAAGCCCGGGTTTCCGAATCTAAAGAATGGTTGGTGTCTAACCTCAGGTTTTTATTGTTGCAGAAACACCCAGATTTCCCAAAGAAGCCTCTCACACCTTATTTCCGCTTCTTCATGGAGAAGCGGGCCAAATATGCGAAACTTCACCCTGAGATGAGCAACCTGGACCTGACCAAGATTCTATCTAAGAAATACAAGGAGCTTCCAGAGAAGAAGAAGGTGGGGGGAGGGAAGTTCAGATGGGGGGAGGGCAGAGATGCTTTCAGGTGAGAGCAGCTGATGGTTTGGGTAGGTCACTGGGGTAGGCCTAGGCCTTAGACAAAGTGAGCGGTCACACTGAAGCATCCTCCCTGGCAGTGTATGCGGCCGTTCTCTGCTTAACTTATGATACTGAGCATCCAAGAGGCCGCAGGAAAGGGCATTGGGTTGATTGGTGGATTGTCCCGTGTCTGTGAGCAAGGAATTGGGGCGCAGGAGTGCTGAGTATCCTGGGTCTTGCCACTTGCATTTGGAGCCTCTGACCCCTCCAGTGCTCTCCTGCCATAGTCACAGGAGTGAGATTGCTTCCCACTTATAAGGCCTCGGTCTTTCTTCCTTGCCTCAGGCTGTTCCCTTCAGAAATGGACCTCTGATTAGATTATCAGGGACACTTCACTTTATGGGTGACAGCTCAGGCTCTTTGGAAGGCAGAAGAACTCTAAACAACAAAGAGTTCACAGAATATTGAACACCAAGAGGAGATGGTGGGCAGCGAGACAAGGAGAGATGTCAGTGAGAGGCAGGAAGGTGTAGGGAAAAAATGCACACTGGTGGACGAAGGACAGAAAGCTGTGGGTATCAAGCCCCCTCCCCCCCCAAATGGCACCAGCCAACAAACTGATTAGCCATTTTTCTGCACACTCTGGCTAAGTGCTTGTGCACCTTTGTTGTTGAATCCAAAATGGAATAGGCTTGGATGGATAAAAGCCACTGTCAGTGACCCATACCCAAGCCAAGGGATAGCAAGAACTGCCAGAGGTACAGGTGACCCTGTGGGTGAGGACTTGGGTCAGTGACTCCACATGCCACCAAACCTCCAAGGGATGGGAGGGAGGGGCTAAGAAACAGGGTCAGGGGGGTTCAGAGAACCTGAGTGGGAAAAGCATTAGCATGAGCATACCTGTTTGGGTCTCCTACTGCCTGTTGCCAACTGGCTATGTCGGGGCTTCAGGTAAGTCACTCTACTACTCTGCTCCTGATTGGGGTGTAGAGGGTGAGCCAGAACCCGGATGTGCCTTCTCTGAGGAGGACTGAGGTTATGCCAGGGCTTCATTGGGAAGCATGGGGAAATGAGCTGCCTCCTTGCACCTGGTTCCTCTTACAAGGAGGGGTCTGTTTGGGTGTGAGCCTCCAGAATACAGGGAGGAAGGAAGGAAGAAATGTTTGTTACATGGGAACCAGGATGCAGGATGCCAGAGGAAGGGTGGAAAAGGAGAGTCTGGGGGAGCCTAGAGGAAGGGACCAGAGGCAGGCGGGCTTGATGACCAGGAATATGAGGAATATTGGAGACCCACAGCTGATGTGGGGGGGAACCTTCAAACTCAGGACATTGGGGTGGGACTTAAATTGCAAGAATTCATTTTGTACACCTTCAACTCTGTCCTCGCCTACCTTAGAAGCACAATTTAGCCTCCCTGGTGCTATTAGGCATCTTGGAGGGGATAGACTGACATCAGCTGCCACAGGGTGGGAAGAGGGAGCAACAGCAAGAAGAGTTCTATGAGATCCAGGGGAGTTCTGTGGTGTTAGATGAAGGGGTGTGTAGTCCTAGCTTGCTACTGTCCACCCAGTGGTGATACCATGTCCCCTGGCTTCTGGGACATTTTGTCTTAAGAGAGTAGGATGGAAATTGGATGTCAGGAAGACCCCTGTAAATCCCTGTCTGGTTATTCATCACCAGGCCTAGCGTGAGTTCGACTCGCTGAGGGCAGAGACACCATACCTCCAAACCTTAGCAGAAGGCAAGGCAGTCAGGAGGGTGGCTTCTCTAGCTCTGGGTGAAATAGCCCTTGGGTCCTGGATGACCCCGTCCCCTCCTCCCCTCAGATGAAATATATTCAGGACTTCCAGAGTGAGAAACAGGAGTTCGAGCGAAACCTGGCCCGATTCAGGTAAGGCAGAGGAGGGCCATGGGGCACTGGGTGTGGTAGGATAAAACGATACTGGCTGGAGACTAGAGCTAACCATCTACAAAACATTGAAGTCTTGTGTAGACTTGTTAGTGTCAGGTTCAGGGGTAGGAACAGGCTGCCAGCCACTAACTTCCACTAAGCTCCAGCAGGAGGCCTAGAAAGAAAGCTTGGGTTGGACAGCTAGCTGGGGTCTGCCTTAGCAGCGCCCCTGCTGACCCTTGCTCTGGCCCCTGGCTAGGGAGGATCACCCTGACCTTATCCAGAATGCCAAGAAGTCGGACATCCCTGAGAAGCCCAAAACTCCCCAGCAACTGTGGTATACCCATGAGAAGAAGGTGTATCTCAAAGTGCGGCCGGATGTGAGTGTCTGGCCAAAGGGTAGGGGTGGAGGGCACATGGCGGTGGCTAGGGGGGAGCCGCGCCTGGTGGCTGGGTATGGTGCAGGGGAGCAGGAGAGGAGGCCCCTCCCCAGGGGGGGTTGCATGGACAGGGCCTGGGCCAGCTGGCGTACGAATGAGTGTGTGTGTGAGCCTGCCCCTTGCACCAAGGCGGATCCCAGCCTCTCCACTTTACCCTCCTGGCCTGTGGTGGACACTTGTGTGACCTCCTGTGGCCTGAGGGGGGCGGGGCCTCTGTGCCCCTCACCCCCCTCCCCTGCCCCTGGCTGCCTGTGTGTGTCTGACGGCTTTTGGTTTGCAGGCCACTACGAAGGAGGTGAAGGACTCCCTGGGGAAGCAGTGGTCTCAGCTCTCGGACAAAAAGAGGCTGAAATGGATTCATAAGGCCCTGGAGCAGCGGAAGGAGTACGAGGTTAGGCTTCCGCTGCGCTCCTCCCCATCCGGCTCTTCACGAGCCTCTGCCCTCTGGTGCTACCGCATTCTGCAGGTGGCAGTCATTCCCTGACCCTCTGTTGAGGGAGGGGCCCTTTGGGGCCCCTCACCTCTGTCCCTACCGTCTCACGACCCCCACCCCACGGAGAGATCTCAGGCTAGGGCAGAGCAGGGCACCGTACTGCAAATGACACAGCAGACACACAGACATACAAGGCCATCCCCAGCTTTGCACCCTGCCTCCTTTCCCCAGCGGCTCTCCCCCTTATCGTGTCCCAGCTAACCCCATACTCCGTTACCCTCCACTCCCCTGCCTCTCACTCTGCAGGAGATTATGCGTGATTATATACAGAAGCACCCCGAGCTAAACATCAGCGAGGAAGGAATCACCAAATCTACCCTCACCAAGGCCGAACGCCAGCTCAAGGACAAGTTTGATGGGCGACCCACCAAGCCACCTCCGTGAGCGCAGCCCTGGGTGGGTGGGCGGGCGAGTGGGCAGCCAGGGAGCTGGGCCTTTGAAGAACTTGAACCCAGGTTGGGGAGCTAGGAAGCCTGTTGCCCACTTGCTCATGGCTGTGCCTTCTTCTGGATTAAATAGGAACAGCTACTCCTTGTACTGTGCAGAGCTCATGGCCAACATGAAGGATGTGCCCAGCACGGAGCGCATGGTGCTATGCAGCCAGCAGTGGAAGCTGCTCTCCCAGAAGGAAAAGGATGCGTATCACAAGAAGTGCGACCAGGTACCACTCTGATCTTTGGTTCCTGTCTTGGTTGGTTTTAAGCGTGAAGTTTGCCCCACAAACAGCCAGGCTGTTACTTGTTGGTCACATGTGCCTTGGCCACCTGCTTCCAACTTGGCAGTATATAATGTCTGCATCTGTAAAAGCAGACAGCTCAGGCTTTTTGTCTACCATCTTTAGGGGGAGAGAAGGTTACACCCAGTCCCTAGAAGCCTACTGAGGGTCCCCAACTGACTGAGTCCCCTTATTTTCCTAGAAAAAGAAAGATTATGAGGTAGAACTGCTGCGGTTCCTGGAGGTGAGTGGCATGGGGGACAGAGGGCGAGTTTGGCAGGCAGTCCTAGTTGAACCTGCCTGCTGCAGCCCGCGCCCTTCTCCTTCCTGCTCAGAGCTTGCCCGAGGAGGAGCAGCAGCGGGTCCTCGGGGAGGAAAAGATGTTGAACATCAATAAGAAGCAGACTACCAGTCCAGCCTCTAAGAAGCCTTCACAGGAAGGTGGCAAGGTATGTGCCACATAGGGTGGAGCCGCCTGCCCACGCGAGGCTCATGGTAACTGTACCTCTGACCCTCTCCAACCCATCCATCCTCTAGGGGGGCTCTGAAAAGCCCAAGCGGCCTGTGTCTGCCATGTTCATTTTCTCAGAGGAGAAGAGACGGCAGCTACAGGAGGAGCGGCCTGAGCTCTCAGAAAGCGAGCTTACCCGCCTGCTGGCCCGCATGTGGAACGACTTGTCCGAGAAGAAGAAGGTCGGGCCTTGGAGAGTCTGGCACCAGTCTCCCCTAGGGGCCGCCCGGGCCACTTCCCCGTGCTTGCAGTTAGGGCCACACTCTCTCGCACCCTGTGTGAATCACGCATGTGCCCCTGAGCAGGAAGGCGGGAAGCTGTCAGCTGTGGTTGTCCTCTCCCTTGGAGAGCAGCTCCATGGGTGGGGCGGAGTCTGCAGGACATTAGTGCTGCCTCTAGTCTCTGGTGGCCCCGCCCTCACCTCTGACGGCCCCGCCTTCTTAGGCGGAGTCAACTGCAACTGCTTGATAGGCTTAGCGCGCCTCCTAGGGGTGGTTCGCTCGCATGCTGACGCCGGCTGCCTTTCCTATAGGCTAAATATAAGGCCCGAGAGGCTGCTCTGAAGGCGCAGTCTGAGAGGAAGCCAGGTGCAGAGCGAGAAGAGCGGGGCAAGCTGCCTGAGTCACCCAAGAGAGCTGAGGAAATCTGGCAGCAGAGTGTCATCGGAGATTATCTGGCTCGCTTCAAGGTAGCAGGGAGTTTGAAAGGATTGGTCTGTAGCCGCCAGTAGCAACAGGACCCCTTCCACAGCCGATGTCCTTCGTTTGTACCTTAGAATGACCGGGTGAAAGCCTTGAAGGCCATGGAGATGACTTGGAACAACATGGAAAAGAAGGAGAAGCTGATGTGGATTAAGAAGGCAGCAGAAGACCAAAAACGATATGAGGTGGGAAGGGGCTGAGCAACTTGCCTCCGTGTGAATAAATAAGAGCTGGGCCGGAAGTGCAAGGTTCCAGATTTGGTTGGGCCAGTCTCTTAACCTTCACCCTATCACAGGCTAGATGAGAGTCAAGGTTAGTTTAGGAAACATTTTGAAATGGACCTCTTTTTTTTTTTTTTTTTTTTTTTTTGGTTTTCGAGACAGGGTTTCTCTGTGGCTTTGGAGCCTGTCCTGGAGCTAGCTAGCTCTGTAGACCAGGCTGGTCTCGAACTCACAGAGATCCACCTGCCTCTGCCTCCCGAGTGCTGGGATTAAAGGCGTGCGCCACCATCGCCCAGCCTGAAATGGACCTCTTGATGTGCTAACTTGGCAGATGGTTGCTTCAGGGAGAGTCTAACTATGGATTCCAGACTAGCCACCAACTCTGGGTCTTCTTGCCTTAATCTCTGGCATGTTGGAATTGCGAGTCCATTCCAGGCAGTTTGTCCCCTTTTCCACATGTAAAAAAGCCAGCAAAGGCATGATGACAATGGGTGGGGCATGTGGGGGTGAATGTGACCTTTCCATGTCTCCACAGAGGGAGTTAAGTGAGATGCGGGCCCCTCCAGCTGCTCCGAACTCTTCCAAGAAGATGAAGTTCCAGGGGGAGCCCAAGAAACCTCCCATGTAAGCCTGAGGCTAAAGCTTGTCCTGGCATGGAGACGGGTTGGAAAGGTGACTCACCGAGGACCTGGACCATGCGTTCCTGTGTCACCCTGCAGGAACGGTTACCAGAAGTTCTCCCAGGAGTTGCTGTCCAACGGGGAGCTGAATCACCTGCCGCTGAAGGACCGCATGGTAGAGATCGGCAGCCGCTGGCAGCGCATCTCCCAGAGCCAGAAGGAGCACTATAAAAAGCTGGCTGAGGAGCAGCAGAAGCAATACAAGGTGCACTTGGACCTCTGGGTCAAGGTGAGAGGGAACGGGCAGCATCATACAGGCTGGTCCTCATTCATGGTTCCTTTGGTGACTCAGAAATCCTTCAGGGTAATGGGCACTGGCACTTTTAAAGCTAAGGAAGCCAAGGCATTAAGTAATTTGCCAACTTACCTAGTTAGTAGAAAATCTAAATCGGCTGCAGTTTCTCCCTCCTAGCCAGGGACAGTGGACTTGTAAGCCCTGGCTAGGCTGTCAGTCTCTGTTTCTCCACTACTTGGAACGGTCAGATTTGTGCAGTAAGGAGAATTGCCTGTCTGTCACTCAGGCTGACCAAAGACCTGGAGAGATGGTGGGAATTAAGCGTTCTAGAATTTTGTCACTCTGCGTCGTCTCACCAGTGACTCAAAGACCAGGGTCCAGGTGGGGCTGGTGCTAGGCCTCGGGAGTCACGGGGGAAACTCTGGGGTTTAGGAGGTCCTGAGTGTGGAGCTACAATTTGGGCATAGCAGTTGGGGAAAATGGATAGGAAGCTGGCTGTCGAGTTCAGGATGACTCAGAGGCGCTTGTGGCAGAATCAGGAACTGCTCTGAGCCCCTGTGAGCTCACTGCAGGGACCGAAGTTTGGGGAAGCTGAGCCTAAAGGTAGCTGATGGAACGTGAGTGCTCTGCCCGGGGTGTGCGTAGCAAGCAGTAGTCTAGGGATCTCTGACTCTCAGCTCTCCCCTCCAGAGCCTGTCTCCCCAGGACCGTGCAGCATACAAAGAGTACATCTCCAATGTGAGTGGGGTGGGGTGGCGGCGGGTTGGGGAGACTCTGTGGGAGCTGGAACTCACTGCGTCCTATTTCCATCCTTTCTGGTAGAAACGTAAGAACATGACTAAGCTTCGAGGCCCAAATCCTAAGTCCAGCCGGACCACCCTGCAGTCTAAGTCGGTAAGTAGTCCCTTCAGGATAGGCGGTGTCCGCAGGGCAGGGTCTGGTGAACTGCAGGTCATCCACCACTAACATGTCCCCGGGGGCACTTCCCAGGAGTCGGAGGAGGAGGAGGACGAGGAGGAGGATGACGACGATGACGAGGAAGAAGAGGAAGATGATGAGAACGGGGACTCCTCCGAGGATGGAGGGGACTCTTCTGAGTCTAGCAGCGAAGACGAGAGCGAGGATGGAGATGAGGTGCGTCGACAGCATGGTGGAAGGGGGGATCATGGGCCGGAAGGGGGGCTACCCGGTGACCGTGGGTTCTTTATTCTCCAGAATGAGGATGACGATGAGGACGACGATGATGACGAAGATGACGACGAGGATGAAGACAATGAGTCTGAGGGCAGCAGCTCCAGCTCTTCCTCTTCAGGGGACTCCTCAGACTCTGACTCCAACTAAGGCTCACCCCCCCCACACACCCTGGGCAGGCAGCCAAGGAGAGCCACTGAAGAGCTCCCTCCCCAACTGACCACCTTTGTCTCTCCCTGTGTTCTGTCCCCTGTCCCCTCGGCCTCCCCCACTATCTTTCTTTCTTCCTTTTTTTTTTAAAAAAAAAAAATCAGTGGGGGTAGGAGGCTGCATGAGCCCAAGCTAGGACTCTGCAGTCTTGGAGCCATCAGCTCCAGGGGTTCTCCAGGGACAGCAACCATCAGACTGAGCCAGCATTGGACCGACCCACCCCATCCCCCTTCTGCACTTGCAGTGCTGACGTGGACAATGGACCAGGGAGTTTGGGGGTGGGAGCGTGTCCTGAAGAGTTGGGTGAGGCCTCCACACCTGCAGCCTGCACCAAGGTGGATGTTCAGGGGAGCCTTTCCTTCCCAGAAGGGCTTGCCGCCTGACCTCCCACATTGAACTGGAGGGAGAGAAGGGTGCTGCCTTCAAGAAAGTGGGCAGTGTCCATGTCCCTCTCCCCTGCCCCTGCAGGAAGGAGCTGCCTGGACCCGTTCATGGGGGAGGGGCAGAGTGTTTTTTATATATGTGTATATATTTTTTTTTTAAGCGCTGAGCTGTCAACGAGACGTTTCCTACCGATCTCGGCTACCGTCTCTGTTGTCATTTCTGGGTATGGGAGGGCTTGGGGTTGGATGGGTTGAGACTTAAAAAATGGTCTTGATATATAGACTGTGAGACTGTGTGTGCGCGCGCGCCTGTTGTGTGCTTGCTGTAGCATGGATGCACCTGTGGATAAGGAAGTGTGCCTGAGTGCATTTGTGTGTCTGTAAGAGAGAACCCACCTCCATGTTTGAATCTGGAAAAAGGGTTAGTAAAGGCCTGGGAGATGGTGACCCTGACAGGAACAGGCCAAGGCTGCCCCTCCCTGCAGTCTTCCACTGTGGTGGCTATCTGGGTCCATTATAGAGGGCATGGAAACCACCTGATGCTTCCTACACCAGTTTGCCTCTGCTAGGGTCGTGTATCTCTGGGCTGCTGCAGTCTGTGCTGTCCAGCAGGAAAGTGGGAAAGGGCAGACAATGGTATGAGCCTTAAAGCTTCCCTTTAGTAGTAAAGGTCTCCTGGCTCATCTGGGGGTGTCCCTGGGGATTCAGGAAACGTCCTGAGATTCTTTTTTTTTTTTTTTTGGTTTTTCGAGACAGGGTTTCTCTGTGGCTTTGGAGCCTGTCCTGGAACTAGCTCTGTAGACCAGGCTGGTCTCGAACTCACAGAGATCCGCCTGCCTCTGCCTCCCGAGTGCTGGGATTAATGGTGTGCGCCGCCACCACCGCCCGGCCTGAGATCTTTTTACCTACTTGTCTTAACTGCCTTCCCTCATGTCCTCTGGCCACCCCCATTTCCTTTGATTTCTCAGGTCTACCCTCCCCTCCTGCCTCCACCCCTGTATCTGGGGGAAGGGACTGCAGAAGGTGCTTTCTGCAACTGGCCCTCTAACCCTTGGGGTTAGTTAGTCCCTGGACTCTTCATAAGCTGAGTCCCCTCACCGTGGAGATTTTCACTTTGACTAAGTTGGCCAGAACTGGTTTTGTTAATGCTATTGGGTTTTGTGCTGCCCCATCTTTTGCCTCTTGAATGAAAGCCAGGGGTGGGAAGTAGGCTCTCCACGGAAAATGTGGGGCTGCAGTCCAGCTGCCAGCCCCGTCGAGGGCCTGGACTATTGTGAAGGCTCCTGGAGAGTGATACCACCCTACATACACACACACACACACACACACACACACACACACACACACACTGTTCTTGTGCTAAAAATCAGTGCCAGGGTTTTAATTCCTGAGAGGGCTTCAAAGAATCCCATGTCCTTGTTTGAATACCCTGGACCATTACACTTGAGTGGAATGTTCTCTCTTAAAAACAACTTTAAACACTACATGTGTTCCTCCCATTTCAAGTATTGGGACATCGTTACAAACGGCTGTGATACCAGTGGGGGAATGTTGGTGCCGTCAGAGGTTGCCCAGGGTGCATTTTAGTACTGGGACCCTCTCCCCCTTTTTTTTAATATTTGAGGAGTATTTGGTAGGTTCCAACAACAACCACCGATTGAATTTGTACCACCAAGGGAGCAGCTTAGATGTGACTGACCCAGCTTAAGGCCCACTGTGGAGGTTTTGTTTTCCCCTTTTTGTACAATAAAATGAAAAAACCAAGGTTTGACTTCTGTCTGGTCACTGAAATAAGTGGGTGGCAGGGGTTACCCAGTAACAGGTTTGACAAAACCCTTGAAGCCAGCTTCTTTGCCCTTTCTGGAACCAGTTTCCTAAAGATGGTACAAGCAACCTGCCTTCACCTTATTCCTGAAGTTTCCCAACTCAGCATCTTCATCTGGGTTTGAGAAGTTGGCAAGTAGATGTTTTACCCAGAGGGCATTGCTTTAGGAAAGGAGATAACTGACCATTAGGATAAAGGATTCACCCAAGCCAGGCAAGCCCTTATAGTTGGTATATGGCTTAGGCTTCTGATGGAAAGCTGCTAGGACCAGAGGACTTGCTGTCTGGATTAAGACCTGCAGCCGGGCGGTGGTGGCGCATGCCTTTAATCCCAGCAGAGGCACGCGGATCTCTGAGTTCCAGGCCAGCCTGGTCTACAAGAGCTAGCATTCCCTACAGACTTTGGCTGGGTTTCTGAACAGGTAAATGGGTGATAAGTACGGGTCTATGCAAAAGCTCCCCATTAATGTCACTCCAATTCCCATCTATACTTCAAAAGTCCCCACTTATTCCCCAGGGTCTAGTCTCCAGTGATGAGCTTGCTTGTCATTACTCCAGAGGACATTTGCATGTGTCCTGCCCTCTGGGCTGATTGCTTCTGTTGTTAGTGTTCACTAGTCATGCCTTTCTGGATATTTCTATATCTCCTCTGAACCCCTAGTTTTCACTCATAGGGAACTACTCTAAAAGGTGATATCTGACCAAGCCTGGTGCACATGCCTGTAATCTCAGCACTCTGGAGGCTGAAGCTAGAGAAGAGTCATGCGTCCCAAGCCAGCCTGTGCTACATAGCCTGTCTTTGCAGATAAAAGGGGCTATCTGCAGGCACCGCTTGCTGTGGCTTGAGCATCTCCTCCAAACTCATGTTGAAACCGTGATAGTAATAAAAGGGTGGAATTCTTTATTGCATTTATTTGAGTGTGAATATGCATGTGTACATGTGTGTGTGTGCGCGTGCGCGTGCGCTAGTCCAGAGAACGACTTGCTGGAGTCAGTTCTTCTAGTATGTGGGGTCTTGGTGATCAAACTCAGGGTGTAACGCTTGGTGGCAAGTACTTTAATCTGCTAAGCCATCTTGCCAGCCCCATGAAGTGGATTAAGGCATTGTAGGTGTTGGGAACCCCTGTGCTGTATGTGCTTGCTCACTCATAGTCCGGCCATGTTGCTGAGAAGTGTGAGAGCTATCCTTCTGTGGTTTATGATTTAGCCAGTCTGCAGTAGTCGGTGACAACAGCATGGAGTCATCTATGTTGGTCCTGGAACAGATATGGACACAGTTACACAGGGTGGCAGCCTCCAGCCCTCTCTTCCTGTTTGTTTTTCATGCTTTTTTTTTTTTTTTTGCTTTTGTTATTTTGATATAGGTTTTCTCTATGTACACAGGCTGGCCTTGAATTCACAGAGATCTGCTTGACTCTGCCTCCCAAGTACTGGGATTAAAAGTGTGTGCCACCAACACCCGGCCTTGACGCCAATGTTTAATCCCTCACGGTCTATTTCCCTTCCTGAACCCCTCTCAAACCTGTCTCCCTTCTCCACAGGGACATTCCCATCCCTTTAAGGCCACCACCATAAACATGTTTTGTTCCTATCTTTAGCTAGAGAGTGGCGACAGACCCAGTCTGGAGGGGGCAAGCCTGCCTTTTCAGAGGCCCCTGCAACCTTTGCAAGCAAACTGAGGACATTGATCCTTCTATATTAAAGTAGATGTCTCCACCCCACCTCCTGTGCCTGGGATAGAACTTGGACATGTTCATAGGTGATCTCCCCAGATCCTCACTGGTGAATTCTAGTCAAGCATTCTCCCCAACCCACGCCCACTGGTCTTGCTTAGTCTTGCTCCTTATAATATACTTGACATGCAGCAGGCAAAATTGTCTTACAGCCTAAATTTGAGACTCAATGTGGTAATACGTGACTGTAATCTCAACATTCAGGAGGTTAGGTCAGGAAGATTACCTGGGGATTGAAGCCAGTCGGGCCTATATTTATGTGAGTTTCAGCCCAGCCTGGGCTAGAGCAAGACCCTGTCTCAAAAGCCCAAATGCACAAATCTAAACTGGAGCCTACCTGTGGCTCTATCTAGGAGTCCAAGACTAGCCTGGGTAATATAGAGACCTAGATGCAAGGAAGGAAGGAAATATGGGAGAGAAAGAAAAGATGACAAGCTGATGTGGTAGCAAGTCTCTGAAATCTCAGGGTATGGTCAGATGACACAGTAGAATTACCGGAAGTTTCAGGGCATCCTAAGCTACATAATTAGTTTGAGGCCATTTAGGGCTACATAGAAAGACCCTGTCTCAAAAATAAACAACCATACACAACAACGAAAACCAAAACTGGGTGTAGTGACATGTACCTATGACCCCCAAATCTAAAAGATTGATGATGTTCTGGGCCAGCCTGAGGTACACAGTGAGCACTTGTCTCCAAAACAAACAAAAACTGTGATCACTTCTGTAATCCAAACTTCTTGAGGGTTGGGAATGCAGCTCAGTGGTAGAGTACTTGCCTCGTGTACACAAGGCTATGGGTTCCACCCCCAGCACCACACAAATAAATATGTTCAAAGACTGGCCTGGTGACCTCTCCCTGTAATCCCAAAACGCGAGAGGTAGAGATGAGACAAGATCAGGAATACAAGGTTACCCTTGGCTACCTACTGTGAAGTCAGCCAGGACTGTACAACACCCTATCTCAAGCCTGGGGGTGGTGGTGGCACGTGCCTTTAATTCTAGCTCTGGGGGAGGCAGAGACAGGTGGGTCTCTGTGAGTTCAAGGCCAGTCTAGTCTACTGAGCAAGTTCCAGGACAGGCTCCAAAGCTACAGAGAAACCCTGTCTTGAAAGAAAAAATAAAGACCCTATCTCAAAAGCATATATATACTATATATACACAAACATACACACATACATATTGCTATGGCTCTTGGCTGCTAAATTCCATTTTTACCATATTCTTCCCAGTCACTCATAATCATCCAGCCAAGTGTTCTCTCTTCAACAACTTGTGTATGTGTACAACAGGGTCTTTGTAATTTTGTTTTGTGCTTTATCAAGAAAGGGTTTCTCTGTGAATCCCTGGCTATCCTGGAACTTGCTCTGTAGACCAGGCTGGCCTAGAACTCAGATATCTGCCTTTCTATGCCTTCTGAGTGCTGGGATTTAAGGTGCGTGTCACCACCGCCAGGCTGGAGAGATGATTATTAAACGCACCAATTGCAGCCGGGCGGTGGTAGCACACGCCTTTAATCCCAGCATTTGGGAGGTAGAGGCAGGAGGATCTCTGTGAATTCGAGGTCAGCCTAGGACAGGCTCCAAAGCTAAACCCAGGTTCAAGTGCCAGTATCCACATGGCAGCTCACAATCATCTGTAACTCTACTTCTAGAGGATCCAACGCCTTAGTGCAAGGACATTCAAGTAAGCAAAAAAAAAAAAAAAAAAAAAAAAAGAGAGAGAGACAATGAAAAAAAAAAGTCTTTTTCAGGGCAGGGTGGGGGAGGTGCTTCCTTAAATCCTTTGTTTCTTTAGGGGCCTGGGTGCCTTCTCCACACTTGTCTTTGTGAGGCTTTGCTACAAGGTCTCCATGTCTCCCTTGATCTGACTCATTGTAACCCCAGGGCCTCACACAGACAGTCAGCTCAGGTTTTAGTCTGTATTAACTGGTATTGAACCCAGACATGTGCCCAAAGAGCACCACCATCCAGCAGCCATGGCCAAGTGTGGAATTAACTGGATGGCCCATTGTATGGAAACTGGTGTGAGGATGGCCACTGGTGGGCATACGAGGACACACTCAAAAGAAATGGAGAGATGCCAGAAGAGTTCTGAATGTGCAAATTCCTTAAGGGAAGGGTTTTTAGGACATTATTTTGATAAGAAAAAACAAACAGTGGGATGGTGGTAGCCCATGCCTTTAGTACCAGCATTTAGGAGGAAGAAGCAGGTGGATCTCTGTGAGTTTGAGGCCAGCCTGGTCTACAGAACTAGTTCCAGGACAGCTAAGGCTGTTATACAAAGAAACCCTGTCTGGGAAAAAAAAAGAAAAAAGAAAAAAAGAGAAAAATCAAACAGTATCACTATGAAGAAACCTGAAAGGGGTATATGTAGCTGATTTATAAAAACCCAGAGACAGATTTTAGGGTTCAACCTGAAGGTCAGAAAAGCAAAACAGCCAGCTAGCCACTGGCTCTTGCCTCTACCTCAGTCTGAAATGACGATCCTGCCTCCAGGAATCCTCAGAATGAGACAGAAAGCTGTCTCCTCCTGTTTTATATTCCACTCTAGTGCTGGGATTAAAGGTGTACACCTCTACCATCCATTTTCTATGACAAACTAGTGTAGCTACTGGGATTAAAGGTGTGTGTCACCACTGCCTGGCTTGTAAGGCTGACTGGTGGGGCTGCTTCACTCTCTGATCTTCAGGCAAGCTTTATTAAAATACAAATGAAATCTACAAAAATGATCTACGGGAGTGGGAGACAGGTAAAGTCTCAGGCCATGCTCTGCTCGCTCCCAAAGCCTGGCTCACTTCTTTCCTCCAATTCCAAATCCAACCATCTTTTGAGTCTCTGCTGTTGGTCCCACAGTGATCCCAGTTTCTCTGAAACCAAATCTATCATCTTCCCATGTCCTCCAGCAAATTCTTCATCTTCCGGGTGTTTTCAGGCTCTCCCTCCCCACTCTGTACAGCTCAGTCAATAGCAAAAGCTTGTTGCTTGCTGCCTTAGTCCCATGCCAGGATGGTGATATATAAGCACAGGTCTGGCCAGATGCCCATGAGTTTCCTCACTGACTGTATGGTGGAAACCCACAATCTCTTCAGCACATCCTTGGTCCTGTATGATCTAGCTTGCTCATATCCTGTTGCTGACTGCTCCATATACCCCTTTGTCCCTTTGCTCCAGCTGGCCAGCCAGCCCTTAGTCAGATCCAATCTATCTTTTTTTTTTTTTTTTGAAACAGGATCTCACTATGTAGTGAGACAGGAACTTTACCATGATCAAGATGGCCTCTAACTCAGAGATCAGCCTGCCTCTATCTTCTGATGCTGGGACCAAAGTCACGTGCCACCACACCTGGCCACGTACTTTTTGTTTTCAGTGCTGGTGTCCTATGTGATCTATATACTGACATTTTCTGTTGGACTGCCTAGAGATACCAGGGCCTGGCAATTCACTTACATCCTTTGAGATCTTCTTCTGCCCACCTTTGGAATTATGTAAATCTCTTTCCTTTTTACCACACTAATTTTCAATTATTTTCCTTCATGTCTTCCTACACTGAGGAGACTATGAACTTCCTGAGGAAGCACAATTGTCCTATTCCACCCTTGTCTCTCAGCATCTGAATTGTGCTGTGAAGAACAACAATTTTTAAAAAGAAAATGTTGTGAACTTTGTAATGATGGTGAGGACACTATAAAGAATCACTTAAAAATAGAGGGAAAAACAGAACTAACAACTAGTGCTGGAGAGATGGCTCAGCCTTTAAAGGCTAGGCTCACAACCAAAAGGACAAGCGTTTGGTTCTCAACACCCACACCCACAGCTGTCTCTCTAGTTTAGAAAAGAGAGAGAAAACTGGAGTAACAACTAATTGGTATGATGACACCACAGTACTGTAACGCCCGCACGCAAGAGGCTGAGGCAGGATGGGCTACATAAGGAGACCATGTGTCAACGGAATTAAAAAAAAAAACAAAAAACAAAACAAACAAACAAACAAAAAAAAAACAAAACCACAAGATTTACTAGGCACCTGAGGTAAGAGCCTCTTACACACTGACTTCCATGTTAGCTTCTGTTTTGTTTCTGAGACAGGGTCTTACTGTGTAGTACTATAAGTGTTTATGGAGTTGAGACTGGCCTCAACTCAGAGATCCTCCTGCCTCTGCAGCGCTGTGATAAAAGGTGTGGCGGGTAATCTTCACAATGCGATAGAGACTATCGTTATGGAGGAAACAGCGACACAAGCTCTTTCGCCTAGTCCAACCAGTTAAGCTCAAACTAACGCGTGGTTTTAACTGCTTCGAAGTATCTACCAACCGACCCCCATAAATGTTTGTTGAAGACTGGAGCCAATGATGGTTTCAAAGTGTGTGATTTCGGAGTCTGATCTTATCTGAAGGGAGAGGACTGTCACACACGTCCCAAGGCAGCAGACACGGCCACCTACACGTGAGCGCAAATCTAAACACCTCGGTGGTTGAGAAAAGGACCTTTCCTCCCGGAGGTAAGGAGGCGCGAGCATGCGGAGAAAGGCACGCCCAGCGGAGCAGCACTGAGTGTAGGCAGAGCCTGGCCCGTGCCAAGCAGGCTGTCTATGAGAGGTGGAGGGGTCCAGCGTGGGCTCCGGAAGCAGGAAAGGCGAGCAGGTGTGGGATCTAAATTCGGAGGAGGGCGGGGAACGCGCTCCGCTCAAAAGGGCGCAGCTCGCGCGCGGCAGTGGACCCTCTGCTCTCAGCTTTTCTCGGTTCGGAGGCCTAGGGTGGCCCACCCAGAGACCCTGAGCAAGAATTCAGAGCGGCCCCTCCTCAGGGCTCTCCGCCCTGAGCACCTAGCTGCGCCCCACTACAAGCCCATTCTCCTCACACAAGTGACAGCATGCCTCGGGGTCAAAGTGGGGAGCGGCCGGGGAGCCCCGCGAGAAGGGCGGGGGTGCCTGGGCCGGAAGGCGTCCCAGGCTCGGCTGGGAGCCGGCGCTCTCTTTCGACGCCACCCCGTTGCCTCCGCCCCCGAGCCGGCCGGGACGGCACCAAGTCTCCGCCCCTGGCGCACCGCGCACCTCACCTTGAACGCTGCCCCACCCACCTCTAGCCTATTGGGCCGCTTGGGCCGAGGGAACCCGGCGATTGGCCGGGCACGGCCACGGAGGCCCCGCCCACCGCCCCGCCCCAGTTCCCGTCCGCCGGTACTTTGGACGGCGGCGTGGCGCCCCTCCTCCCCTCCCGGTCCCCGCCCCCTGGAGCAAATGCTGCCGAGCTGCGGCCGCGGGGCAGATGCACGCGCTCGGGCCCTTCTAGCAAGCGCGAGCTGTCGCTGGGCGCGCGAAAGCGAAAGGAGGAAGAGGAAGGGAGGGCGAGGGCGGGGTGTTGAGGAGGGGCGGGAGGAGGAAGAGGAGGAGGTTGCAGCGCGCTCGCGCCTGGCCTCGCGCCCGCGCCGAGGGAGGGGGGGAGAGGGGCGCGCGCGCGCACGCTCGCGTCCTCGCTCGCTCCATCCATCCTCCGGTCGCGGCACGCGCGCGCGCTCCGGGCTCGCGCCGCACCCCCCGCCCGGGAGAGGCGGGCTGGAGTGGGGGGCGGGGGGAGGGGCGCGCGGACGGCGCGCGGACTGCGCGCGGGCGGGGTGAGGTGAGGAGGAGGAGGCGGCGACGGGACGAGAAGGGAGGGGAAGGGGCCATGGCCGCCCGGTGAGGCGGCGAGGCGGGGGGGCAGCCCGACCCCCCGGCCCCGGCCCCGGGCCCCGGGGAGAGGCGAGGACGGACCGACGGACATGGGGCTCCGGAGCAGCCGCCGCCGCCGCCGCCGCCGGAGGACGCGGCCCTGAGAGGCCGCCGGGCCCCGGCGCGGCCCCCCGGGCGGGGTGAGTACGGAACGGGGACGGGGGAGGGGCCTGCGGGGGGCGGGGGGCGGGGCCCGAGGCGGGGCTTGGGCCCCCTCCCCCCAGGTCTGGGTCAGCGCCCCTTCCCCTCCCCCCGGGCCGACGCGGAAACGCCCGGCTTTCCCCGGCTTCCCGGCCGGGCCGGGGCCCCCCGGTCTCCCCCTGGCTGGGTCCTCTTTGGGCGGGGCAGGGCCGGCCGGGGAGGGGGCGCGGGGCCTTTGTTAGGGAGCCAGGCCCCAGCCCCCGGGACAATAGAGACACCCTCCCGGACTCCTTTCCCCGGCCGGTCCGGGCTCTGGGCTGGCGGCGACCGAGAGGGGTCGGGACGCGTCCCACTCTGCCTACTCTCTGGGGTTCGGTCTGTCCCGGCCCGCCGCCGGCCTTGGGCGGCTCGGCTCTCCTCCCCCCAGTCGGTATGATGCAGCAGCAGTGCCGCAAGGACGGGAGAAGAGCCGCGGCACGGCCTGCTACCCTTCCCAGTGCCCCTGGCTCATTTGTCAGTCCCCACCCCACTCGAGGCCGGCAGCGTCTTAAACTCGTACCCACCGTTCAGTGGGGCCCCGAACTGTGGGCGCTGTTTCTGAATCCTACGGTGGGGATTTCTGGACTTTGGGGCTCTTGGAGAGACTTCCGGGCTGGTCCTGAGGGAGGGAGGGTGCGATCTAAAAGAACAGGTAAGGGGAGTGCCCACTCCTCGTGTGCTTGCCACGGGGCTCTCCTCTGCTGTTCGCGATGGCTGGAAATGCCCTTCGCCTGTAGGCTTCTGTGGGCTCTGTACCTCTCGTAGAGTGGCAGGCTTATTTTAAGAGAAGACACTGGGGTGAAGGTTGTAGGGTCTTAGGGCCATTCCTACTTCTGGTAGCAGTACCCCCCCAAGTGGACATCCTGGCTGAAAGCAGAGGTGACTCCGAGAGCCCTTAGGGAAAGGGGGGTTGTCTTGAGGAGTCTGTGCAGTTCTTTGCCACACCCTGTGGGTTTGCTTTGAGGCCTTAGAGTTCCTTCTCCTCCCCCTGCTGCATTGCACCATGGGTATCAAAGAGGGGTTTGAGTTTTGGGTACCTGGGATGAGCTGCTGCCTCCTATAGACCCAGAGTCTGATTGGCAGTACAGTTCAGGGCCTGAGCTTAGGCCTGGGAAGGACTAGGCCACCTCTGGTTTTCAGGCCCTGAAAACCATCAGACTTAGAGATCCGGGGCCTTGGGGAGGGAGACTCTCTGATGCCAGGATTAAGCCCTGGGCTCGGAGGTGGGGAGGGGAGGTGGCAGTCTTTGGAGGTGTCTTGGACTCACACCAACACCCCCACCTCCATGTGTGCAGCCGTGTTGCCGCCCGCTGTGCTATGAGCAGTCAGAGCGCCGTCTCCACAAGAGTTTACAAATGAAAATGGAGGAAATGTCTTTGTCTGGCCTGGATAACAGCAAACTAGAGGTGAGGGCTCCCCCACGTGTGCCTCTAGTTCTTTCTCTTGATGTCTCTGCGTCGCTGTATCTGGCATCTATGTCAAAGAGGAATTTGGGTAGTCAGCCTTGTTCCTGAGAGGGAATAACAGCTGAAAAGACCCAAGGATCTGGGAGGAAGAAAGAACTGGAAAAATCAAGGTGGGGAAAGTGGCAAAGAAAGCAGCATGCTTGGTCAGGGCCAGGATATTTGGTTGATGAGAGTTTTTCAGTCCAGGGGGGTGCCACCCTTGTGACCATGGATGTTCTCTCCTGGGGCCCAGGCCATCGCTCAGGAGATATATGCGGACCTGGTCGAGGATTCTTGTTTGGGATTCTGCTTTGAGGTACACTGGGCTGTCAAGTGCGGCTACTTCTTCCTGGATGATACAGATCCTGATAGCATGAAGGATTTTGGTGAGCTTCAGGGTGGAAGGAGAGTGGTCTAGTTCTGCTCAGGGTGGGGAGGTGGGGGTAGGAGGGGTGGGACTCAGAGGGTTTCCTAGAAACTGCCCTAGATGCAGAGCCTGGAGCTCCTGTGAGCTTAGGCAGGGATGAGTTTAAAGAGGACATGGGACCCTGGCAAGAAGAGAACAAGAGGAGGGTACCCTGCCTGCTCTGATCGCCACGCCTCTCCTGCCCCCAGAGATCGTGGACCAGCCTGGGTTGGACATCTTTGGACAGGTTTTCAACCAGTGGAAGAGCAAGGAGTGTGTTTGCCCCAATTGCAGTCGCAGTATTGCTGCGTCCCGCTTTGCCCCCCACCTGGAGAAGTGCCTGGGAATGGGTCGGAACAGCAGCCGAATCGCCAACCGTCGGTGAGAGCTCTTTGCTGCCTGCACCAGCGATACACATCCTATGCAGTCTGTACCGTGGTGTGGTCCCGTGGGGCAGGTGTAAGGTGCAGAGGGTAGGCTGTATTTGGGCCTCAGATACTTCTCTGTAAAATAATGTGCAAATTGGTGGTAACCTTGACCTTTTCTCTTCTCACCTCTGCGCAGGATTGCCAATAGCAACAATATGAACAAGTCTGAGAGTGACCAAGAAGACAATGATGACATCAATGACAATGACTGGTCCTATGGCTCAGAGAAGAAAGGTGTTTGGGGCTCTGGGGCAGCCTGGGAGAAACTGGTCAAGTGGGAAAGTTAGAGCATATATTTGCCATAAACTATCTTGATGAGGGAAGAATATAGTTTTTAAAAACATGGAAGTGTTGAAACGGAGAACTTCAAATAACCGTGTTCTTTGTTCTGTTGTTCCCCCAGCCAAGAAGAGAAAATCAGACAAGGTGAGAGCCGGGGCGAGCCTGGGGGAAGTTTGGGTGAAGGACAGATAACCCTCCCTTTTGGGCAGGAAGTGCTCAGGTCTTTTTACTCAAGTGTGATGTCACTGGGCGGAGGGGAGGCTCTCTGGGATTGGGAATAAGGGTCAGGGGAGCTCCCTCTGACGGGAGGGAGGGAGGGAATGTAGGCAGACAGGCCTGTTCCCGGGGAGGAATAGTATGAGTTTGAGGTTGTTGCTTTGTCAAATCTTTTTTCCTTCCCTGGGTTCTCGGCTCCCCCTTATCGTTGCCCTTTCCCCAAAGCTATGGTATCTCCCATTCCAGAACCCTAATTCCCCTCGAAGATCCAAGTCTTTAAAACACAAAAATGGTAAGTGGGGCTAGACCAACAGGGGCACTGCTAGCTGTATCGTCACAGGGCTGGTAGTGGGGGTGGGAGGGAGGGCCTGTGAGCCTTCTGTCACCCCCACTTCCTCTCTGGTTATTTTCAGGGTTCTCTGTCTGTACCTCTGCATCAAACACCCTTCCCCTTCTTTTTTCTTCTTCAGGGGAACTTAGCAACTCCGATCCTTTTAAGGTGAGTAGAAGCCTCTTCTCGTTGCCCTTGGGAGGTGACTGGGATTTGGACAAGGGAGGTCAGGATGCTGACAGCTAGAAATGGTTGTGGGGCTGTTTGAGTCTTGGGTGTTCATGTGCTTTGTTGTCCCATCTCCTTGTCCATATGCAGGTAGGTTGGAAGGACTCTTAGAATATAGAATGGAGGCAGGGATGAGAGGGACCGAGTCTCCATTCCCACCCCTTTCCTACCTGTTCTCTTTTTTGTTTCTAAACTTCTCTGATCTGTACCTCTGGTTCTCTCACAGTATAGCAACTCAACTGGGATCAGCTATGAGACCCTGGGGCCAGAAGAGCTACGGAGCCTGCTCACCACGGTGTGTGATTGGAAAGGGAGGAGGTTTGGCTTGGGCTGGGCAGTGGGTAAAAATACCCTGAAAGACACAGGTGACATAGCAGCTGGAGCCATAGCTTTCTCTGAGAGTGGGCTCCCTGTTCCACCTGCTCTGGGGCTGGTTTCTACTTGGGCAGTTTAGCATTGGCACAGCAACTAGTGTTTGGAGTAGGCCTCCTACCCCTCCTTTCAGCTTATGTTCCTCTTCCAGCAATGTGGAGTGATTTCTGAACATACCAAGAAGATGTGCACAAGGTGAGCACAGAAACTAAAAGGGGGGCTGATCCCGTGGGCATGGGTCGGGAGTACCCCTGGATTTGAGCAATGGGCCATCATTCTTAACCTTCCCTTCATCTAATAGACCTTACTTACTAGGCCACCATCTGGGGATTCACCACTGACTCTTTCCCTGTCCCTCCAGCTTCTGCTCCACCTGAGTTCCTGAAGTCCTTTCCTGCCTTGTCAGGGTCTGATCATTCTGTCCCCACCAGGTCACTACGCTGTCCCCAGCACACAGATGAACAGAGGCGAACCGTACGGATATATTTCCTTGGGCCCTCAGCGTAAGTTAACTTTCCATATGGGTGGTGGGTTAGGTTGGTGGTCTCTTTCCCTAACATGTTTCTTTGACTCCTCTTTCCAGCGTCCTTCCAGAGGTCGAGAGTTCCTTGGATAATGACAGCTTTGACATGACTGACAGCCAGGCCCTCATCAGCCGACTTCAGTGGGATGGCTCTTCTGATCTCTCACCTTCTGATTCAGGCTCCTCCAAGACTAGCGAAAATCAAGGATGGGGTCTAGGTATACAGTGCCAATTGATCTCAGGGGCTTTGGGCAGTGGGGCGTCGCCTCTCCCTTCATCATTCCACTCTCATCTCTTGTGCCTCCTCCTCTGTAGGTACCAACAGCTCTGAATCACGGAAAACCAAGAAAAAGAAATCCCATCTGAGCTTGGTAGGGACTGCCTCCGGCCTGGGCTCCAACAAGAAGAAAAAGCCAAAGCCACCGGCTCCCCCAACGCCCAGCATCTATGATGACATCAACTGACTTGGGTGCAAGGGATAGCCTTTGGCTGAGAGAGCCCTCTCTCCCGACCCCCACCCAGGCAGCATAGCCTGGCATATGGACAGCTGCTGGGGGTTTGGGCTTGGGAAGCTTGGTGGGCCAGGCAGGCAGAGGATCCAGTTATGTGCCCCTGGGGGGTGTCAGGGTCCTCTGCAATGAAGCATGACCCCTCGGCGTGCAGGACTCAGACCTGGACATATTATGCCTTGGACATAAGTTTGGTGGGGAGGTGGTTTTCCTATTTATTCTGTGAGTTACTGGATGTCCAGCTAGGCTGGGGGCCTGACATGGGCACTGTGCCAGGGCACTGCCTGCTCCCCACCCCAGGAACTGGACTAAGCCCTGCCGAGGGGCATTATGGCTACCCAGGTGGCTTTGGTTTGGAAGCTGAGCCCAGAGGGGGCCTCCCCTGGCTGCCCTCAGCAATGTGAATGGGTCCGGTGCTTGGAGCTGAGGGGCAGGGCTGGTGTGTCCTGTCTGTGTGCAGAGTCCTATCAGATGTCCCCAGTCCCCGGGGTCAGCAGGCAGAGTGCTGTCTGCTGAGGTGGGCGTCCAGAACTGCCTCACAGGGGCAGCCCTTTCCCCTCAGTCCCCATGGGCCTCCTTGGCAGCAGGAGCTGTCCTTTGTTGTTGGGTGCCAGGAAAGGGCCTCCAGCCTCTACAGCTTCAAGGAATGGGAACGGGAGGGTAGGAAGAGGGAGCCTGTATCAGAGTGGCCCCCTGCCCTCCCTGCCCCAGGGCTGTAAGGACAGCCCAGGTGAGAGGGACGGTGCTGCTTTATTTGAAATGTTTCTTACCTCATTCCCTGCCCCAGGAAGGGGCCCAGCCTCACCCTCCTGGGGTGGCCCGTGTTCTCCCTTCCATCCTGCCCCCCCCCTTGCCCTGCCCTGCTGGGGCAGCCTAAGTTCCCAGCTGCTGCTTGCCGCCCCTTCCACCTTGACCAGCTTTGGTTCCTCTCAGTGCTCCTGCCTCTAAAAGCCTGCCCTGTTCCCCTCCTCCCTTGCCGCTTTTAAGTTATTTATTCTGTACTTGTGGTTTGGGGCTCTGAGGAAAAACCCTAATCTTGTGCCTCTCTCCCTTTGCTAGGAATAGGGTGGGATGAGAAGGTAGTCTCTGCCCTGGGTTGTCAGTGGAGGTTGGGGGGATACTGTTGCCCCTCTGTGGGACTGTCATGACTGTCATGTCTGGCTTACATCCTCAAGAGATGTACTGTCACACCTCCCAAGTAGGTGGTATCATGCCTTGGAACTGAGCTGGAGTACCTGGGTATGGGCTAGAAGAGTACAGCTGACTGACAGGGATGGGATTGACCCTGAGCCACGTTTTCTGGCACTTGCTATACATGTCCCCTCTCTTCCCAGGAGGAGCTACTCCCATGTTGGGTAGCTAGTACCCAGGACTGGTTGGACTGATTTGGTTAGGGACCCTAGAGGGTTAAGGGAACAACAGAGCTAGGGTTGCAGTACCCTGTCTGGAACCCCAGTCTCCCCCTGGGGTGGTTCTGATTGTGGCTGATGCCTGGTTACAAATTGGTTTTTAACCCAAGCATTGTGATTATTTTTTAAAAAGTCAAACCAATTTTGGCAGGAGTTAGAATAAATCCTGGAGCCTGGGCTCCTCTGTCCTTGGCCCTCTACAGCCTTCTCCCTTGAGGGGGAATCTAGAGGGGGAGAGAAGGTTCTCGGCTGCCCCCAAGCACAGTCTTGGGAGCCTGCTGAAGGTCGGGGGAAGCCAGCCCAGGCTGCCATCCCTTTGGAGACTTAGCTGCAGCTCAAGCCAACTCACTCTGCTCTCCCACCTCTCCCTCCTCTGGTTGGAGGGAGTAGTTTGGGAACTGGTTTGTCCACAAAAACTTCCCTATTGTTCCTTGGCTCACCCTCAGGGCAGAGCCCCCTGCCCAGGCTGGGTAAGAGATGGGCTTGGTCCAGCAGGGACCCTGAGGGAACAAACCCCTTCCTTCTGGGGAGTATGCCCCCCCCTACCATGTAGTTGAGCAGGGGCTACGAACTCCCCACTCCCTCTAACAGCAGGCTGTGTGGGTATCAATTCCCATCCTCCCCACCCTGGCTAGGTGTTGTCCACCTTGTATCCTATCATGTGTCTGAGTGTGTGTGGGGGATTCTGTACTAATTTCCATGGCCGGTGGCTTTTCCTTCCATGCATCACTCCCCCCCGCATGCCCAGGGGCCACCCGCCTGGCATTACCGCATGCTGGGGTCATTGGGGGAGGGGGGTGGGGCTCACGCTGTCCTGTGGTCTTGAGATTTTTATTTTTGCATATGTAATCCATCCTGTACAGGTAGCTAACTTTGTAAACGCTGTGTATTCCCTCTGCCCCCATGGCTGCTGGTGTAAATAAACTGCATCTCCCGTTGGTAGCCTGGCCTACCCACCCTCAATGCCATGTTGTTGAGGGTAGAGCAGTCACAAAAGAAGCTCCACAACCACAAAATGCAATTTTATTCACTCATACTGACCCATCATCTAAGGGCCTAGGGCAGGGCAATCTATACCCAGAGCTGTCATTGGAGCTGGGCAGGACACTGGATTACAGCCAGTATTCTCTTGCAGCTTTAGGAGGCTAGCAGCTGTGGCCTGGCCCCTCCATGGTCTTCTGCCCCAACCCCTTTCCTAACTGAGCTCTATGCCGGCTATGTGGGGGAGGGAGAAAGAGGGCAAGCAAAGTGCTTTAAAAGAAAGCAAAATATCCTCCTATTCCTGCTCCAAGGGGTACAGGGAGGAGGTGGTGGCAGCTGGATGCATGTAGGGAAAGTTAGTACAGACTTCTCATCCCTGCCTGTGAATTTAGTTTCGAAAGATCTGCACTCATCTAAGGCAAGGAAGTAGTACTTCGAGCTCCCTGCAGAGGAATGCTAAGGCCATGCTGAGCTGCCCTGGCAGGAACCCTGGGGGCTAGGGAGCAGACATGCAAAAAATGAAAAGGGTTAGGGTCACAGCCAGGAAGAAAGACCCAGAGCTCAAGCTTCTCACTGAGCTTTGAACTTTGGGATTCCAAGAGGGAAGATGATATCCTTGTTTCTACCTGAGTTGTGCTTGCAGAGAGATCTGTACCCTGTGGACAATGAGGGAGGCCACACACCTGTTTCTTGAGTCCTAAGGACAGGGTACCCACCATATTCCTTCCATCCCTTCCTCCCTCCCAGGTCCTTTGGGCCCAGCTCTGGCCAGGAAAGGGGGGAGGCCATGAAGGAGAAAGACCATGCCTTTCATTATCTCCTGGTGTCCTTATCGTCCATACATCCCAAATACTAGGAAACTGAAGAAGACTGTGACTCCCACCAAGGAAACAGTGGCAGGTGCTGTGAAGAACTGGCGGTAATTGATACGGAAGTACCAGACCACACCCAAGAGCACCACAAACACAGGCACCATGAGGCTGCCCACATTGACACCAAGGCTGGATGACTCAGTGGCTGAGGGGGTCAAGGAGCCTGAGGGGCCAGAAACAGGTGCCCCTGGGGGTGAGCGGTGGCAGTGTATCACACAGTTGTCGGTAATGTTCAGGGAACTCAGCGTGCGTGCTGGGTCCTGCAGCAGCCGACCCTGGTATATCAGCTTCATCTGGCTCTCTTGTCCAGGGAAATATTTGCTACAAGGATGAAAGGAAAGACTGGGTAAGGAACAAGAATATATAGGCCTGGACCCACAAAGCAAGGCATGGAAGAAACTAATGGGCCGTCTATGGGAAGTTCCCCTTAGCAGAGGCCAGCCATTAAAACTCCTCTAGTGATATCGAATCTACACCACCTCTTTCAGGGAAACCAGTGCCTGAGGCACAAGTCATGAGTAACTGCTCTTTCCAGCCTACTCACCTCTTTAGGGTACCCACAGTGTCCTCTGGCCTGGCCACAGCCAGCTTCTCGGTGTCATTGAGAAACTTGAGCCGAACATTGATGAGGCTGGGGCCGGGAGAGAGGCAGGTGCGATCATCTAATCCCAGTGGAGCTTCTGGATGGCTGCTCTCCAGGCCTGCTTGTCTTTTGGGTAGGCCTTGGATATCCAGGAGATGCTCAAGGCTGGGCTCCACATCTGCCCTAGCTCCAGGTTCCCCAGTGGAGTCTCCCCCAGTGTCACTGGTCTCTTCAGCCTTCTCTTCATTCCCCTCTGATGGATGGGGGATTTCAGTTGGTTCTGGAGTGCCTTGGTTTACCAGCTGGTCCACATGCCCCAGGTGGAGAACAGATGTGTCGCCCGCCGACACAATGGTGCCCAGCAATTGGTTGTTACTGCTGTCTGCTACGTAGGTAGAGAGCCAGGCTAGAACCAAGGCTAGAATCAGCACCACTACACCTGCCACCACCATCACCTCATTACCCACACCCTCAATGAGGGTGACATCAGAGAGCTCCATGGCCTGGCTGCTGCCCGGGTCCACACTGCAGGAACAAAGGAGGATAGCATCAGCAGGGCCTGAGGGGTGATAACCAGCTTGTTAACCAGGTGATAATCTAGTTTGTTTAGGTTCTGGGTCAGGCTGGGGGGAGGGGAAGACGGGAGTTTGTGGTGTTTTATAGGAGAGGCAGCCAACCTCCCTATCTGTAGTAGACCCTCATTCTCAAGCTGAGGATTTACCCTTGGCCTCTATTGTGAAACTCTAGCTTTCAGATTCTGTTCCCATAAAGAGCACAGGTCACCAGAAGAGCCTCATAAGCTGGTCACCAGCTGCTGGTTGCTTTTTTTTTTATTTTAAATTTTTTATTTATTTTTCTGAAATTTGGAGGAGCTCGGAGAAAGAACATTGTTTCTTCCCTTCTCTTCAAGTCTGGGTATCTCTGTCCTGGAAATACCACTCTATAGACCAGGCTAGCTTCAAACTCAAGAGCTCCACCTGCCCCTGCTTCCGGAACGCTGGGATTAAAGGCCTGCGCCACCGCACCTGGCTCCATATGCTTCTTTAAGTCTGGAGTTTCTCTAAGATTCCTAACACGTGGTCAAGCACACATGGCCCCCTAAGCAGCCTCAGCCAGAGCTTCAAAGAACGCGAAGACTCCTTCCCAGGCACTGAGCAGCAGCCCCGCCAGACTCATCTGATCACATTTCACTCGTGGCCACAGACCCATGCGTGCACAGCTGTCAAGAGCCAAGATAAATACATTTTGCTCTATCAAGGACAGAATCAGACAACTTCAAGTGGATAAATGTATTGAGACTATCGGCAGACACATTCGTCTCCTACAGAATTGTTCTGGCAAGTTATGGGGAGCTGCATGGGACAGACACCAGAAACACTGCCTTCTTGGGTACCCATGGGCTTGGCTCACACTGTAAAACCCTGCCCCAGCATACACCACTCCAGTTATCCAGAACTTGGGAAATGAAAGCAGTGGGATCGAGGGTTCAAGACAAGCCTCCACCACATTGCATATTCAAGGTCAGCCCTAGACTACAAGAAGCTTTTTTTAAAAAATTGCCTGAGTAATAATTATTTGGAAAGATTTCCCAGCCCTTATTTCATCCTGTCTTGTGCTGTGAAGGTTCTCCCTCTGCCATTTCTTAGAAAAGCATGGAGGATCTCTGCGTATTCCTTGGAGACTCTCCTTCACAACTGTCCCTGGGCAAGTCCATCTGGTGATCATCATTATCAGACTATTCTCACAGCAAACATAAACATCGTTACACTTAGAACCTGTCCATCTCTTTATTGATTTCTGGAAGAATCCTCTGTACAAAGCTCTCAGTGGCACGCCACAGTAGCCGCCCCAAGAATATCTGTGGACAGACCGACATTCGAAGAGTTTCCACAGCCGTAGCGAGAGACTGGCTCTGGAGTCAGGGAAACAAAGTTCGCGGTCTAGTCCCTCTCCTAGCTATGGAGCTGCCAACAACTCCCGACGCCTCAGTTCTGCCAGCACTAAAGCGGGGTTGAAAATGGTACCTACCTCATAAGGTTGTTTTGAAGATGACGTGAAAGCATCGAAGCAAAACAATTTAAGAGTGTTCGATCAACAAATGATAGCAAATATGTCTCACTCCCACGACTGACCCCTGAAGATAAGGTTAATGTCAGGAACCGTGATTTACACAAAAGGAAACTGTGGCAAAGGCGGACGGAAACCGAGGACACAAAGTGCCGTGGGCAGGGGCCGGACAGGACCCCGCGTCCGCCCGCTCCAAGGCCTCAGCTGTCCCCTCTGCCTGTGGACGCCCCCGACCACGCGCTGGAGTCGCCCCCGACCCGGCTTTTCCTAAGGCGAAGGCTCTGTCTCCGTGGCAGCAGAGTCCACGAGCCCCCCCCCCACCCCGGACGGAAGGCTTCCGGGTCACGGTGGCAGTGCCCAAGCCCAGCTCTCCTGTCCGGTGATGGTTAGGGTCAGGTGAGGGGGGTCACAAACCATCCACACCCCTCAAACTTCGGGGCGGGGCGGAGGACCTAGGGGCGGGGCCTGCGAACGCGGAGAGTCATGGGAAATTCAAGGGGGTTTGACTCGGTCCTGTTCCCGGATGGGGAAGGAGCGGCTCACCTGACAAAGCCAGGATAAATGTTTTGACTTCGCCAGGGCAGTCTCTGCACCCGTCTTTCCGTAGGGGTCGGGGGAGGGGTTGGCAACTCAGGATTCTCTTCAGTGTCCGATCTCTTCCGGCTTTTCTCGGAAGCTGTTAACACCGGGACCGGAACTCCCGCCTCCCCGCCTTGTACTGATGACGCAAAGCTACGTAAGGCGGACTGACGTAAACAGAATCTTCAACTAAAAGGGCCAGGTTGCACAGCGGCGAGAGGGGGCGGAGTCTTTGTTGGCGGGATTTCGGACTTCGGGCAGTGAGGCCACGCCCAGTGGGCGTGGTCCTATGCCGTCCAGAGGTCAGAGGCGGGGCCAGAAGAGGAGGAGCGAATCGGGAAGGTGCTTGTGGAAGGGGCGTGGTTTCAGCCTGGGCGATTGCACTGGCAGGCTCTGCTGGTGGACCCACGCTAGGCTTCCCTCTTTCCCTCCTTCCGGCTTCGCTCTCGAGCTCCGGAACTAATGGGATTCATTACTGCTCCGCCAGTGAGCACCGGGCTCCAATGTTGGGATCCGCAGGGTCTAGTATTTCTGACTTCTAAGAAAGTTGTTACACGAGGAGACAGGCAAGAAGACAAGTTAGAGTCTTAAGTACTGAAAGATTCGCTTTGAGAAATAAAGCGGGAAGGCATTTCAGAAAAACAGATATACTGCCCTCTTAAAAATGATTTGTTTGTGATTTATTTATTTATTTATTTATGTGCTTGTCTGTGTATGCCAAATGTGTGTGGTTGCCTGCCGAGGCCAGAAGAGGGCACTGGATCCCCGGAACTAGGGTTGCAGTAGGCTATAAACCGCCAGTCTTGGGTACTGGTAAGAAAACTCAGATGCGGAAAGAATAAGCAAGTGCTCATGACCATTGAACCACCCCTTCAAGTCTGTCATCCTCGATTAGCTTTTCCTTTTTTTCCTGTTACCAAGTGAACCATCTCCCCAGCCCTTAGGATGACTGCAAAGAACTTTCTAATATTTTTCCTTTTACTATGTTGTAGTATTTATAAAACAAATCTGGGGTTGGGAGGATGGCTCAGTGGTTGCTGCTTTTCTAAAGGACCTGAGTTTGGTTCTGACGACCACCTGTAACTGGCTTCAGAGGACCCATTTTCTCGTTATTGCAGGTATCTCCCAACTTGTGGCACACACACACGAATTTCAAACAAACCTAGGACCAACAAAACGACTCAGCAAGGCTCCTGCTGCCAAGTCTTCTGACCTGAGTTCAATCCCCTGGACCCATATTCTGGGTAGAGAAAACCAGTTCTTGCAAGTTGTCTGCTGATACACACACACACACACAACTAAGATACAAAATAAAGTAAAACCACCCCTAAACACTGCCCTTTTAATATTTCATGCTGTAGGTAAATGGAAAATCTTTGCCTATCACAAAATTAATACATATAGTCCAATATATCTTTTCTTTAAAAAAACAAAAGCAATAAAGAGACGTTGTGTGATTTAAGGCATGATAGAAGAGACTGAACTGGCTGGGGCTTAACCGCTGTAATGGGGCAGAAACTCAGCATCATTCCCTGGAGCAGGGTTCCAGCTCGGGCCAAGGACTGGGAAGCCTTCCTTTCCTTCTCCTAGAGCAGTGGTTCTCAACCTTCCCAATGCTGCAACCCTTTAATACAGTTTCAATGTTGTGGTGATCCCAACCATAAAATTATTTTTGTTAAAGCCAGATGTAGTTTAATCCCAGCACTCAGGAGGCAGAGACAGGCAGATCTCTGAGTCCAAGGCCAACCTTGTCTACAAACAGAGTTCCAGGACAGCCAGAACTATGTAGAGAGACCCTATCTCAAACCCCATCTCCCCAAATTATTTTTTTTAATATTTATTTATTATGTATATAATATTCTGTCTGTGTGTATGCCTGCAGGCCAGAAGAGGGCACCAGACCCCATTAAAGATGGTTGTGAGCCACCATGTGGTTGCTGGGAATTGAATTCAGGACCTTTGGAAGAGCCATCTCTCCAGCCCCCCCCCCCAAATTATTTTCTTTACTCCTTTATAACTGTAATTTTGCTACTGTTATAAATCATTATGTAAATATCTGCTTTTCAATGGTCTTAGGCGACCCCTGTGAAAGAGTCATTTGACCCCTAAAGGGGTCTCTACTCACAGGTTGAGAACCACTGTCTTAGACCTTTGGCTTTGTGGAATTAAAGCAAAACCTCCATTCAGAAACAGGTGGTTCCTATTCGGCTGAACCAGGGCAGAAGCTGTATTGTGAATGTGAACACACAGAACTCCCTGGAGGAGGGAAGTGGACAGAGGCCCAGGAAGCAGGCCCAGGCTCCTGATGTGGCTCTGCTGTCTGCTGGGTGATGTCAGCTGGTGACTGAGAACCCTGAATCCTCAGCAAGTAGGTCAATAAGCCCCTTTATTTTCTCCTGGGATAGCTACCACAAGGCTCCCAGGGGGGTAGGGGGTGTCTATCACCTTGTCACCAGAAACACCTATTCAAGGCAAAAACTTGGAAGCCCCGGAAGACCACAAAGAGGAGAATAAATGTGGCCTGACAGAAACTTGCATCACATTCAAGCCTCACAATATCCACACGTGGTTCTGTGCACAGATTATTTATTTGCATTCATAAAACTGGTTTGCAAGGCGGGTGGTGGTAGCGCACACCTTTAACCCCAGCACTTGGGAGGCAGAGGCAGGCGGATCTCTGTGAGTTTGAGGCCAGCCTGGTCTACAAAGTGAGTTCCAGGACAGCCAAGACTGTAGAAACCCTGTCTCAAACAAACAAACAAAACTGGTTTGCCTTGAAAAGCCTCCTCCTAAAGGTGAGTGGTCACACCTTTCTGTCTCTAGGACCAGAAGAAAGAAGAGAGAATGGCTTTCCACCTTTCTGGGCCCCAGAAGCCATTCTAGACAGACTGCCAATTAAGATGCCATGCAACACCTGGGGAGTAAGGGAGACCACATCAGAAATGTCTCCGGTGGCCAGGTGGTGGCGGCACATGCCTTTAATTACAGCACTCAGGAGACAAAAAGCAAGCAGATCTCTGTGAGTTCGAGGCCAGCCTGGTCTACAAAGCAAGTTCCAGGACAGCTAGGGCTATTATACAGAGAAACGCTGTCTCAAAAAAAAAAAAAAAAAAAAAAGAGTATTCTAGCATCCGTTCAAGACATGGGTTTCATCAAGAGACAGAGGTGGACTCTGTGGTGGGACACTTGCTTAGCATGCCCCCAGCCCCGGGTTCCATGCCTCGTGCTGGGGGAACAACAATCACAGCAGCCCTTTCTTTTAGTTCTATCCAGAATCATGCTGGAAAGAAGGCAAAGAAGCAGGATACACCCTCCCCCCAAAGATCTTGCTAGTGTTGACCTCATAGTTCTACTGCCTCAGCCTCCAGTCCTGGGGTTAGAAGTATAGGCTATCAAGTCCAACAAAGGGCCGGTCACTATGAAGGGCTGAGTAGACATATGGGTGGCAAGGGGAGAGCTGCACTGTGGATTATTTGTAGCTTGGGTAGATAAAGAGGCCATCTACCTACATAAGCATGGGAGTGGAGGGTTGGGGACAGGCTGAGACGGCCTGAAGATCAGCAGGTGGCTTAAAGTGTCAGTGGAGGGACAAACTGGTCCTGGAGGCAGGCAAAGCGCAAAGGAAGGGGCAGTGGTTGGTTTTTCAGCGCCGGTCGTAGGATCGGATGGAAGTAGAAGTGGCCCACTCGGAGCTCACCGGATTTGCCCCTCCACACACAGCAGCAGGTAGTCTCTGAGCAGTGGGGGCAATGGGAGTTGGGTGGCTGCCTGCCGACAGTTGCTACCCAACTGAGCACGAACAGCCAGGCGGGCCAGGTGCTGCAACCGTCTTGGCTGGTTTTCCATGCTTAGGGCTGATCTGTAGAAGGCTTCGTGTTCCTAGGCCAGAAGAAGGGAGGATTGGATGATCCAATACCCCTGATTTTGATAACCCAATGCCATGGTATTGGGGACTGGATTTCAGCCATGTCCGTGGCCACTGCCACCCCAGACGAGCTGGTAGAATTCCCACCGAGTCAGAGCTGACTGGTAAGTGAGTGGTTGTCAGCAAGAGGCTGGGCAGTGTGGAAGATCAAAGATCTGCGTGGGCTGCTATGGACAGAAGCCTGGAACCCAGGGTTTCATGGCCTACCTTCCCTCTCTGAAGCTGGTCTTGAAGCTTGAAAGGAGAGTCCTCTGGCCTCTCTAGCCCTCTAGGGAAAAGCTTCGCCCTTGGAGTAGACATACCTGCCACAGTTCCGGGAGCACTGCGTCCACCCAGCTGTCGCAGGACGGAACACATGGATAGGCATTAAGGAGGACTTCCAGGGCCCGAGGAAAGTTGGCGCAGTGTTTCAGCATCTGGGAATTAAAACAGGGGCCTAGGAGTTCCATGTTGCCCCAACTAAGGCAAGCCCAAGGCTGGCCACACACACACCCTCATGCCTCAGTCTGCCTCATCCACACTTGCCCTAAGCTTCTGACCCCAGTAACCTTGACTCTTCCTTTGGCTAGCCTATCCCCTCTGCCCAGTTGAGGGCGGACCTCCAGTCACCGAGGGAGGCCCTTTTAGTAGGGGAAGTTCTGTCCCAGGCTCTCTCTCTCTAAGAGTTGGCACCTTCCATAGGCCCTCCCAGCGCACCTCAGGGTGAACGGGTGGGGCCCCATAGTCCAGCAGTGCTGCAAAGAGGACCTCGGGCTCCCAGTTGGGGGCATCCTGTACCGCCTGCAGCGCGCAGTCCATGGGTGTGTGGCCAGCCCCATTGGTGACGCCAACTCTGGCTCCGTGGCGCAGCAGCAGCTCGGCCAGGCCTCCGCAGCCATTAGCACAGGCGTTGTGCAGCGGTGTGTGGCGCTTGCGACCGGCAGCCCTGGGATCAGCCCCGGCTTCCAAGAGACGTCGCACTGCTGCCTCGTGCTTTCGGCAGCTACCTGGCCCCTCTGCGCCAGCACAGGCTGCATTCAGTGCAGTCTCGCCCTGACTGGTGCGCAGGCTCACGTTGGCGCCATTCTCCAGGTAGAGAGCCACGTGTTGCTCCAGGCCGCGAGCTGCAGCCACATGCAGGGGCGTGACTTCGCTCTCTCGCGAGGCCTCATTCACAGATGCTCCAGCCTCTAGCAGCAACTTGGCACACCTAAGAAGAGGGTGCAAGGCCCGGGCAAATCCTGAGGACCCTAAGGTCCGCTATCACCACCCATTTCCTTCCCACACCTCTACCTGGAGGCCTGCCCTGGTGTCTCCATCACAGAAGCTCCATTACAAACACCAGGGTTCTGGGGCCAGTAGAAGCCGCCAGAAGCACCTTCAATTTTCATATGAAAAAGTTAAGCCCCAAACAGTCTAGTGCCGCAGCCAAGAACACACACATAGCATTAGCGGAGAGTCCATCCTGAATGGAACTGACGCACTTACTTTGTGCGAGGCGTGAAACCCAGGCAAGCTAAGCAAGCTATAGCTGAGCAGTGCCCTGTTTCTGACAGCGTCAGACTCACTGCGCGGTAGAGAACGATCTGGAACTCCCGAACCTCCAGCCTCCTCTTCCCACTTGCTGGGATTATAGGCCTGTACCACCATGCTCAGTTTCTGTGACACACTCCCAACTGAGCCACGACCCATGCTCCTGATCTCCCAACATTCTGATAGGACAAGATTTGGGAAACCCACTCCTGTGTGCACTATGCCACGCAGAATATTAAAGTGTGTGCGTGTAGAAATAGACTACACTACTCTTTCCAAACAGGCTGCGTTCACTGGGTCCAGAAAAGCTGCCAGGGACCTCCCTACTCTGCTTTCCCTTAGAGAAAACAAGCAAAACATTTTAGAGGGAACCTCTTCACAGTCTTTGAATTCCTGGAAAAATTACAGGCCAGCACACCATTGTAAGCAAATGTGCTGTTACCTACCGCGGAGACGGAACACGAGCCCAACTAAATTGCCAATGAAACGAAACCAATGGTGATTTAAACAGCTGAGCCATCTCAGCCCAGCCAGCGTAATGTATGCTGGGAAGGGACAATAGCAGCTGCTGGAACAGCACGGGCCGATCACGTTAATGAAACCATAATTGGAGATCCTTCCCCCGGATTCAGCACAGATCACGGATACAAGGGCTCCGTGGCCAAGACCTGAGTAAACACCGCCTTTGACAAACTGCTGAGTTTAATTCTGCAGTAAATTCTAATTGTTGCCATATTTTGACTTCTAGTATTGAATGTAAGAAGCACTTTAAAAAGCTCACTCTGCAGGGCTCCGGGAAATGACCCTTCTCGTTATATGCAAAAGGACAAACACAGTGGAAAGACACTTGTGCACAGCTACCAAGGCGTTCAGTTGTGTCCTAAGAACCAGGGAAAGGGCTGGTAATGTTGTTTACTGAAGACAAGGTCCCACTGGCCCAGGCTGGCCAGGTACTAATAATCCTCCTGCCTCAGCCTCCTAATAGGGCTGGCAAGTTTAGATTCCTTTGAGGTATATCTCTGATCTACAGCTGGTGGGGACAGGTCTCTGGCTGTCAGTGTCTTGAGTTCTTACCTGCCAGCTGAGTTTGTTGAACTGATCTGTAAAAGAGTGAGTGCCACCGTGCAGGGAGTCCCAGACGGCTGACCCAAGAAAAGTGAAAGGGCACTCACTGCCTGTGCCTATGGTGGCTTGTGTTTGTAATCCCAGTGACCAGAAGACTGCCCAGCACTTAGGAGGCAGAGGCAGGCGGATCTCTGTGTTTGAGAATAGCCTGGTCTACAGAGTTAGTGCCAGGATAGGCCCCAAAGCTACACAGATAAACCCTGTCTCAAAAAAACCAAAAGAGTTTGGGTTAGCCTGGGCTACACAGTGAAACCCTACCGCCAATAAGCAAACAACAATAAAAAAAAAAAAAGGGTTAAGGAAAAGCCGGGCAGTGGAGGCCTTTAATCCCAGCACTTGGGAGGCAGAGGCAGGCAGATCTCTGTGAGTTCAAGGCCAGCTCTGACCTACGGAGCAAGTGACAGGACAGTCTCCAAAGCTACAGAGAGACCCTCTCTCAACAAACAAACAAACAAAAAAAAAAGTTAAGGCTATTACTCGGTTAAGAGAGTGCTTGCCCAGCCAGTACAAAGCCCTGGTTTTGATTTCTGAGCATCGTGGCGCATGTCTACACTCCCAGCGCTTAGGAGGTAGCGGTAGGAGGGTCATGAGTTTAAGGTCATTCTCCTCCAAGCTACACGAGATTCTGTCCAAAACAAAACCAAATAAAAATAAGTGTGGAACCAGGTGTGGTGGCACACAGCTGTAACCTGAGCACTGAGCAGGCAGAAGCAGGAGGATCACCAAAACTTCGAGGTCAGGCTGGCGTAAACAGCAAGTTTCAGGTCAGCCAGGTATATAGAGAAACCAAATACAAAATCAATCCAGTGGGAGGAGAGAGCGGGGCATAGTGGTGTGCATCTGTAATAGACTCAGGAGGCAGAGCAGGGGGCAGGCAGATCCTGAGTGTGAGGCCAGCCTCAGAAACATAGGTTCTGTTTCAAAGAAGAAGGAAAGCCAGACACCATGGTGTAACTCCAACTCCAGGAGACCCGATATCCTACTCTGGCCTCTGGAGGCACCTGCACACACGTGCACACACACATATACACATAAATGAAACAATGAGGGCTGGAGAGGTGGCTCAGTGGTTAAGAGCACCGACTGCTCTTCCAGAGGACCCTGGTCAATTCCCAGCACCCATATGGCAGCTCGCAACTGTCTGTAACTCCAGTTCTAGAGTATCTGACACCCTCACACAGAGTATATACAGGCAAAACACTAGTTCACATTAAATACATACATATATACATACATACATAAATCTTTAAAAAAAAGAAATAATGAGGCCTCTATCTCTGTGTGAAAACATAAATGCACGAGGCGCTTTACACACAACAAAGCTTAGTCAAGTCACCCTTATTCCTAGGCGGGTGAGCTGGACACAGACCCCCCCCCCAAACCAGCCCAGGCCATAGGCACCTACTGCAAAGACTCAGGAGCCGTGCACAGGTGCAAGGGGGTCATACCCTCCTCAGACAGCACATTAGCCTTGGCACCAAACGTGAGCAGCAGCCGAACACAGTCGGGTTGGGTTTGGGCACAGGCCTCGTGCAAGGCAGCACGACCTCCAATCCGGGCATCGAGGTCAGCCCCCTGCAGGATAAGGTGCCGGGCGCAGTCTATGTAGCCTCTGGCCACAGCGATGGTAAGAGGTGCTGTGTGCTTGGTCTTTGGAGTCAGCACCCAGAATCCTAAGGAGAACAGGCAGTACTGTAGGACTTTGTATGGGAGAGCACGGCAGAGAAGCTGTCTATGGCTGGCAGTGGATGCTGGCTTTCCCTGGGTCTAGCTTACTGACCATGCTGGACCTGTGGCTAGGGGTTCGCTCAAGTCTTGAATTGGGAGTACACGCTGGAAGACCCTTTGTCTGTCTATAACAAAACACTATACTCCCCAACACTGGAAAATGAGACAGAAAATATCACATACTATGGGTCCTAGAAAAGTTCTACGAAACTGCGAAGGCAGAAGAGGGCAAAGGGGCAAACCCTATGGGAAGGAAGCTTGGGGTCTTTGGGGGACCAGTGGGTTTGGTGGCGCTCTCTGTTCACATCTAGTCTTGGAGATGGTAGCTATGCATAGGTGTGTGTAGAACTGAGTTTCGAAGCGGAATGTGGAACGAAAAGAGGGGCCTGTTGATCAGACGACTGGTGCTGGCTTTGAACGAATAGTCAACAAGTTGTTTAAAGGATACAGGTGTGTCCTGTTGAAGTGGACACCGTGGGCATGGCAGGGAAGGAAGGTCACTGCTTCTCTGAATCTTGGGTGAAGCAAATTTTGCTTTTGTTTTTGAAGACTAAAACTAAGTCCGGGTTCCATTTTGGGGGGTGATGGGTATTCTTGGGGACAAAGCCAGAACGGCTTGGTAGAGTCATTGTGCCACCATGGTAGGTGAGCAGGTCTTGCAGTCTGCAGTGCTTGACTGTCCTGGGCTCATAAGCTCGTCTATGGGACTGGGAAACCCCAGGTCCAAGGGCTGAGGTTGAAGCAATCTCTTGTTGGTTTTCACAAGTATCTCAGGTAAGCATTCAGTGAACTTGGGCAAACTTGCTAAGCTGGGATGCATCCCAGGAAATCTGTTACACACTAAAGGTCCTCATCCTACTCAAGGTAGCATAGGGGACCAGAGTATGGCTTGCTGGGAGTCTCACTCGCCTATGAGGGGGGCTCTGCCTTCCATTGCTTAATACCATAACCAATCAATCATCAATCAATCAACAATCAAAATGAAAAAATCAAAAAGGGAAAAGGTGGCTGGGCAGTGGTGGTGCACGCCTTTAATGTCAGCACTCAGGAGGCAGAGGCAGGTAGATCTCTATGAGTTCGAGGCCTGCCTGGTCTACCAAGTGAGTTCCAAGACAGCCAGAGCTGTTACACAGAGAAACCTGTCTCAAAAAACAAAAAAACTAAAACCAAACAGACACAAACAAACAAAAAACAAAATCAAAAAAGAAAATACAGAATAGGCTTCAGAAGGCAGGGAGGCTGCAAATGCAGGGAGTAGAGGACAGTGAAACCTGGGTTTGCCTGGGCAGATAAAGATTTGGAGGAGATAGCTATGAGCTCATTGAAGACTGAGGGCAATGGGGCTGGAGAAATGGCTCAGGGCTTAATAATGCTTCATGCTCTACCAGAAGACTGGAGTTGGGTTCCCAGAGAAGCCCTAGCATGGGCTCCCTGTCACCCCAGTTTTGGGGAATCCAGTGCCCTCTGCTGTCCTCCATGGACACCAGACATGCACACACAAGCAAAATGCTCGTACACATGAAATAAGATAATTCTAAAAAAGTTATAGGCCAGGTGATGGTGGCGCACGCCTTTAATCCCAGCACTTGGGAGGCAGAGGCAGGCGAATCTCTGTGAGTTCGAGACCAGCCTGGTCTACAAGAGCTAGTTTCAGGACAGGCTCCAAAACCACAGAGAAACCCTGTCTCGAAAAACCAAAATAAATAAATAAATAATAAAAAAGTTATAAAGGACAATGAGCGTAGGGATACAGGATGGGCGCTGAGAGAAGCAGGCACCAGAGCACTGTGAGGCCAATCATCTGGAGAGCTTATTTGGAGGTCCTAGCAGGGGAGCAGTTACGTGTATGCCCTTGACTAAGGGCCGGTTCCCTACTGGGGAAAGTGATCTCTGACTGCACAGAAAGCAGGAGGGATAACGGAGTGATAAAGGAGGAAGGGCACAGCACCCCAGCCAGCCAGATCAGGCAAGTCATTCTGGCGATCTGGGGGTGGGTGGGGTGGGGTGACAGACATCACAACCAGAATGCTCCCACATTCGGGTATCCAGGTGATCTTTTGTTTTGTTGTTACTAGAGACAGGGTTCACTGGTAGTCCTGGTGTCCTGGAACTCACTCTGTAGACCAGGCTGGCATCTAGCTCAGAGAGACCCTCCTGCCTGTGCCTCCTGAGTGCTGGGATTAAAGGTGTGTGCCACCACCACCTCCCATCCAGGTGATCTTATGTGCTCTGCTCTAATGAGTGTGGGGGGATTAAAGATTTGAGCCTTTGATGCGCTGGCCAGTGCACTATCTAGCTAACACTGAAGAATTTTTACAGCTGGAAAATAAGATGCCATTGGTATGTTAGAAAGGCTGAGTCTCAACAACAACATTATTTTTTTTTAAGATGAGTGGTGGGGGTGCACAGCCATGGAGGAGGCAGAGGCAGGTGGATATCTGTGAGCTAGAGGCCAACCTGATCTACACAGGGAGTTCCAGGATAGTCAAGACTACATAGAGAAACCCTGTCTTGAAAAAACCAACAAACCAACCAACCAACCAACCAACCAAACAAACAAACAAACAAACAAACAAACGCGGTGGTGTATGAGTGCAGGCTCATCACCCAGGAGCACGAGACATTAAGATCCTAAGTTCCAGGCTAGCCTGGGCCATACAGAGAGATCCTGTTTCAAAACAAATGACAACAAGTTGAACAGGACCTGATGGGACAAGCACATGGTCCCAGTTACTCCGAAGCTGAGGCAGAGGATCACTAGTTCAAAATCTGCCTGGGCTACGGAGTGAGTTGAAAACCAGCCTAGGTTACTTAGCAAGACTCTGTTTCAAAATTTAAAAAGCTCTGGGTTGGAGCACAGCAGCAAAGACGATGCTTATTAATATCACTCAAACTATGGCCCAGTCCTACCGCCCCAAAATAAAACTGGACTGGTGAGCGGGTTCAGCAGGAGGTGCTTGGGTCTTCTCCCTACCCCACAACTTCAATAGGTGTAAAAAAATTTTGCATATGGATTTAAAAAATTCTCTTCTATAGAAGAAAACCATAGGAGAAACATGGACATATATATATATGTGTGTGTGTGTGTGTGTGTGTGTGTACACACACACACATATCAAAAACATGAGTATTCCTATATAATTAATCTACTGCACACAATGTCTGTCAACCAAAACCAGCACTTACAATCTGTATATGTGTTATATCAGAACATAACTTTTGGAGGCTAGGTGTGGTGACACACTCCTTTAACCCCAGCATTCAGGAGGCAGAGGTGGGTAGAGTTTAAGGCTAGCCTGATCTACACAGTGGAACCCTGTCTCGTAACCACAAACAAATCCACACTTGGCCTCAACTGTTGAGGAAGGAGCTAACATGGGTTAAAGGAGAAGGGGGGTCTGGACTCTTCCCTTCCCCACCCCCACACTTCTCCCCTCTTCTGCCCTCCTGGGTGGTACTCCTTACCCTGTTCAGCTGACCAGGCCAGCTGGTTGCTCACTGTCTCCACAATCATGTTGGCAGCCTCTTCGTCTTGGAACAGGATTTGAACCTGCTGTAGGTCCCCAGAGAACAGGGCATTGTGGACAGCTGGGTCTCGGCAGGAGCGGCGCGGCCTCGTGAGCCGTGTCTGGGGACTAGAGAGGTACCTTTGGCTTTGACACTGCCGAGCGGCAGCCCGCCTCCTGTCCTCCCATTCCAGCCACTCTCTCTGTAGGCGGAGAGCTCGCAGTGTGGAGGACGTGAAAGGGAAGCTCTCCCCTGCCATGAGCGGTTCAGGGGTCTGTGCAGTACCGCCTAGGCAGAGAATTGTTCCTTGTCCCAGCTAGCACCCTTGCTCTGGGGAGTCACTCTGCCCCCCTCCTGGTAAGCTGGAGAAGCAGCTGAGGCTATAAATAGGCCCCTCACTGCATTGGTAAACAGTTTGCCCAGAGTCATGATCCTAATGCAGATGGTATTGGGTCAGTCCTTGCCCCTACTGGTACCCTTCCATTGGCCAGCAGGTCCTCAGCCAAGGTCACTCCCTGACCCCACTTCTCTGGAGTGAGTCTTCTAGTCCAAGCAGTCAACCATGGGATGGGCTGGACAGGGCAGGGGGAGGACCAGGGTCCTGCAACCTCTGCAGTGCTGGCTGGGGAAGTGGGCAGGAGCCCAGGATGGAGCACAGACCTCAGTCAGGGGAGGTGGAGATACTGAGAAGCGAAACCACTCTTCCTGAGTTTGAATGAACAGCACTCGCTGAAGTGTGTACCACACTCTGAGAATTTCAGTCGCTTTCACATCCACCTCTACTCCGACCAGTCAATGAGGTAATGTAGCAGATTTGGTCAGGAAATGAGATGGCCACGCTAAGTGTTTCAGTTCAGCATCTGAGATGGGCAGTCTTATTTTACAGACTTAAGGAACTTAGACTTAACAAGGTAAAATTACTGGCTCAAGATCACATAGCTTCTTTTCCTTTCTTTTTTTTCCTTTTTTTTTTTTTTTTTTTTGAGACAATGTTTCTGTGTGTCCTGGAACTCACTCTGTAGACCAGACTGGCCTCGAACTCACAGAGATGCGCCTGTTTATGCCTCCCTCGAGTGCTGGGATTAAACACGTAGTTTATAAGGGCGGGGCAAGGACTCCAGTAGCCCAGACTTTAGGCACTTTGTTCTAGGGGCCTCTACCATGTGGGGTAGACAGTTGGGTGAGCCTTTCCTATCCCCTCATGCCCAAGCGGGACATGGTTTCTACTTTCAGTGACTGGTTTTTCTTTCTGGTCTAAAAGGACCCACTTGTCTCCTTGCTGTGTGCCAAGGGGTTGACCTTGGAACTGGGGACCTTCAAACTGTTCACCCGTTTCCCTTTCGGAGAAAGTGGCTGTGCTTCCAGGAGCCTCTAGGGGGAGGAATGAGGCTGTGAAAGCACACCAACTGGTCTGTCTGGTGAAGGGAGGGAGGAGGGAGGTCCGCCAGCCTCTGCCTCCTGGGCTGCTGGCGGCCCCGTAGCTCAACAGTGCACTGCGGGTTCCTCCTGGTTCCTTCTGCCCGCTTCCACCGTGACTTCCCAGCAACCTCCCCCTCCTGTCTTTCATTTCCTCCTGGCCACAGGCCCACACAGGCTCTGTCTCTCCCACATTCTGTTGCCAGCTTCAGTTCGGGTCCTCAAAACCTTCAACCTGGATCAAGCCAGCCTGTGAGTCTCTTTCTTGGACCACATGACTTTCTGCTGCCTGCCAGAATCACCTGTCCAAAAAGGTCATTTCCTGAAAAACTCGTGCATTCTGGCTCAGGCTCTTCCTCGGAGTCCTGGGTCTGGCCCCACACACACCACGTGGCGTCTTAGCCAGTTTCTTCACCCTTTCCTGCTGGCTGTCCCAGTGGCTTGAAATCCAAGGCAACCTGTTGTGTCAAAGTGTTCCTGCAGCAACAGCTGCTCAACTTCTAAAGGACACTGGGTGGGCTTAGCAAAGTCCACATGCCACAGCCCCTGAGACATCACTCTACCGTGCTGGATGTGGGCTCCAGGGCAGGCAGGCCCTGGCTTGAGCAGTCCTGACATAGTGTTTTAGGAGCACCTGGCTCATGGCAGGCTGGCCTCTCCTGAGCATTGAATGAAGGTCCCTATTCTCTGCCAGATCAAACGCTCCTCTATCTGCCCAGGTGGGTGGCAGCAACCTGGTCTTCTTCCGACATTCATTGCCCTCATCCTCTGCTCATTCTCTGCTGGGCCCCAGCTTCTTGGTAGGGCTCCAGGGTGGGGGATCCCAGAAAAGAATGAGATCATGTCCAACGAGGGTTTGAAGATCCTCAGAGAAAGGCCCCTCTATGGATGCAGCTGTGATTAATCCTATTGGAAGCCATACAGTATTTTAATTGCCCTGCTGACTACCTGGCTGAGCACCCACAGCTGAGTTCCCAGGGTTGGGAATCTCTGGCAAAAGCAAGGTGGGGCCAAGAAGGGATAAAGTGGTGGGCGTCCCTTTGTCCCCTAAGGCATACAACAGTCATAGCCTAACCTCTGTCTTCTTGCCTCACAAGCCTGAAAGTGCTGACTACAGCTTTGTCCCCCAGAGATACCAGTGTGTAGGTTTTATCATTGGCTTCTGAGGCAGAGGAAGGGGCCAGAAGTTGAACTGGAAGGAACAGGGTGTTCAGTCTGCCTTCTGGGGGTTCAGTCTGGGGAACAATGAAGCACCCAAGAAACCAGGATCCGAAACAGTTGGGGCTTAGTTGAGACTGGACAGGGGGACCAGGGCTTGGAGGTGTCCCAGTGCAAACATCTAGACGGGCCTGGCCCAGGTCTAAGATGGAAACAGAGTTAGGCAGGAGGCCGTGAAAATGCAAGGGGACAGAAAACAAGGCCTATGCTGCTCTGGCCTACAGCGCAACAGCCTTTTGGACCAAGGTTCCCTACAGCCAGTAGCTCTCCAGCTGCTTATGGTCCCACCCGTGAGTAGATTTGTGGGATCGGTCTCCGAGCAGTGCGAGCGTGGAGCCTTCACTCCTAGTCACTCAGTGACAGCTGAGGCGGGGGCTCTGCCCGTCAAACGGGCTTCTTCAGCCTGCTTCCTCTCTGCCCTTCATTCTGGGAAGGATAATGGGTTGGCAGCTTGAATACTGGGACCTTTTCTGCCCCACCCAGGCTCTTGACAATCGTGGTCTGAGAGCTGGTGCTGAGAAGAGCACTGGAGATCCCAAGCAACAAAAGAAACAAAGCCGCATCAGAGCTCAAGGGGTAAAATGAAGAACCGGGTCTGTATTAATATAAACGATGAGCAGGTGAAGAAGCTGACAGCCACACAGAACTCAGCCTAGTCAATGAGAGATCTGCCCTTAGGAGGACAGAACTCCCTCATGCTCGGTTAGCGGCACACCACTGGACTGTCTTCCAAACAGTACAGGGTAGGGGGAGGGGACATTTTACTGAGGACAATCCTAACAGACATTTCCTCAGTTAAGGTGACCTAGGCTCATGGATACCCTTTTAGGAGGGGAGAAGATAGACCTGAGGGTACAAAACCGTAGACCTAGCTCATTGGGAGGCTGGGGCAGGAGGATTGCCAAGTTCAAGGCCAGAGTAGGTAACTTAGTGATATCCTGCCTCAAAATAAAAAGATCAAAACAAACCAATAAAAGAAGAGGATGGAGCAGAGGTTGAGCATCTGCAAGTCCAAGGATCAATTCCCAGCACTGCCAGACAAAAGTCAAGAGAATGGCATCTTACTAACAGTTTCCCAGAGACATCTTACAAGATGCTTGACTGGCGGCTAAAGGGCTGGTTCAGCAGAGTCCAGGCTCCCACACATCAGGGTTTCTACACTGTCTTCTGAACTCTGTAGGCGTTCACACGCAGATGGCGTGTGTGCACACTCACACACAAATAAGAATAATAAAAATTAAATCGGGGCTGGCGAGATGGTTCAGTGGTTAAGAGCACTGACTGCTCCTCCAGAGGACCAGGGTTCAATTCCCAGCACCCACATGGCAGCTCACAGCTGTCTGTAATTCCAGTTCCAGAAAATCTGACATTATTATACTAATGTGCGTGAAATAAAGTTAAATAAAGTTAAAAAAAATTAAATCGAAGCTGGGTGTAGTGACACACGGGAGGCAGAGGCAGGTGGATCTCTGTGAGTTCGAGGACAGCCTGGACTACAGGGTGAGTTCCAGGGCCACACGGAGAGACCCTGCCCCCCCAAACCACAATAAATAAATAAATAAATAAATAAATAAATAAATAATCTAAAACAAGAAGTCTGACTGATCTTTCTCAGCATCACTGGGGGCATCCAAACCAAGACAAGCCTAAGAAGCCACCAAAACCAAGAGGAGCCTCGAGATCCTAAAGTGGGTTCAGAGAGAGGGAGAGAGGAGAGGGAGAGGACAGAGGAGAAACCCAGCAAACCTGAGAAAGTGTGGAGCATAGCTAATGATAATGTAGCAATATTGGTCCACTGAGATCAATGGCGCAGGTGCCATGGCACATGCCTGTAATACCAGCATCAGGGATCAGAGGCGGGAAGACCATGAGTTCAAGGCCAGACTGATGTAAAATTTGAGGCCAGCCTGGATACAGTGCTATGGAGAAAAACAGAGAGAGAGAGAGAGAAAGGGAATGGGAAAGGAACGGAAAGGAAAGGGCTGGGCAGTGGTAGCACACACCTTTAATCCTAGTACTCAGGAGGCAGAGACAGGAGGATCTCTAAAAGTTCACAACCACTAGTAACTCTAGTCCCAAGGGATCTAAAGCCCTCTTTTGGCCTCCAAGGGCACTAGGCATATAGTTGGCACACAGACATATATGCAAGCAAAACACCCATACACATAAAATTAAAAAAGAAGAAAAAGAGAGGAAGAGGGGGAGAAGGGAGACAAGGGGGTAAGAGTGTATATATGTAACGTATACACACACACACACACACACACACAGAGTGAATGGTTGCTCTGCCTTGCTGGAGCTTGACTGCTCTGGCCAGCAGAGAATGGAGAAGTAGGTGTGGGAAGGAGGGGGTGGCAGATGAAGAAGGGCTGCTTTATTTCAGAACCAGGTACAATAGCCTGCACCCCACCATCATCCTTGAGGGCGCGGGCTATAGCCTTAGGTCACCTTTGCTGTGGCTGTGGCTCCTCTGGGCTCTGCAGCTGTTAGGGGACTGAAGACAAGGAAACCAGGCCCAACATCCCTAAAGTTAAGATGAGGTGGGAGGGTCACACTTTTCCAGGGAGGCTGGAGAGCTCGTCTTGTTCAGATTTCCAGGATGTCCACACAGAGGAAGCTGTCAGGCTGCAGCAGCACACTGCTCATCACCGGGGCCTTCA